TAATTAATGTAAAGTAAATAAATATATGTGCAAGCAGGTAAAAAGTATTTTCGCTGCCAATTAATGAAAATGTCGGTAATGAACGAAACAACATTGACTTCTCACGAGAATATCGAAACCGAAAACAAACTAATCAATTCCATATTTTAGTTTATGTAAATATATAACAGGTGATCATTCGATTTTTTGTTAAATTTTTTTTGTTACTTAATATGTGAAAAACATGGCGCCTTAATTTAATCGCTTTGAACTTGTTTAGTAAGATAATAATTTGACAGCTTCTTATATTTCTTATTAAAATCAAATGTATATACATATTATATTTTTGACTAAAAAATATAAATTAATGTTTTATTATCTTTATTTCGTATGTTGTATTCATATAACTTTCAAACGCGATAACGTAATATTTATTATTAATAGATAGAATTCGTAATTCTTGTAAACCTAATACTTTACATACATATGTATATGCTAGCGACTCACCCTCGCTCCGCTCGTTACTTACGTTATAAGACTTCTCAGAAATGAGATATTTTCCCGCAATAAAAAGTATTCTATATGTTGTCCCGGATAAATAGCTATCATTATACCAAATTTCATCAAAATTCCTCCAGTGGTTTTTCCGTAATGCGGTAACAGACAGACAAAAATTCTAAAAACTATAGATTCGGCCTCTGTATCGATAATTATGTCTATTTCAATAAGATTTCCTAAAAAATATTTAAGTAATGAACAGATTTGGCTTAGTTACAATTTTATTATATGTATAGATAATACTATTGTTAGATACGAAGATATATTCAATATGTCTTTGATTGCAATCGATACTGTATTATGGTTTATTAGAGCATTCAATCTTTACTTCAAGGTAACAAACCAAATATTTATAATATTTATCAAATCAAAATAGTCTATAATTATTCTGTTCTTATTTGTTATAATATTATACAGCATAGCCCGATGTCTTTATAAATTATTAAGCATACCACAATAATTGCTATGCTAAGTAATTTTGTATCTATAGCTAAGAAATATTCTTATAAAAATAATAAAATATAATATTTTATTAATTATGGTAACACAGATTATATAATTATAAAAATCATAACACATGATTTGCATGCCACAACTGCAAATTCATTTGGTTCGTGACTGCAACATTTAATAACGAAATAACTAGTTATTGTATTAGATAACGGAACAGTAACGAATTAGTATCTACTTGTTATAGAAACCATTTCATTATGACACAGCCTTGGTTAAGTCACGCATGTCCATGGTCGGACTCGATGCCTGTGATTTTGCATCTGTGCACTTTGCATTATCTGTATACATGTACCTATAGTATACAAAATTATTTTTCTTAAATTTGTCTTTTTTATAAGAAGTAAATGTTATTATGTAAAAAATATCTAATAATAATAAAATAATAGATATGTAATTTTAGTAATAAATATCATTTCATTAGAAAAGGTGAACTTTAATTATTAAAAAAGTTGGCGCACCTTTTGACATTTATATTTTTTTTTAAATAAATTGTAATAAATCGACACTCCTTAAAACCATAAAACAAAGAATTGAATAGAACTCATTTAAATATTTACTGTTGATGGTGAAGTCATTATTTTACAAAAGAGCTATTGTAGTAATAAATAAGCGTAAAGTATTTTTATTTGTCAAATACAATTAAAAAAATCATATTGATGAAGATGTGCAATAGATTGGTTTGTTTTATAATACTATCGACTCACCCTCGCTTCGCTCAGGTTCGACTCTAGGTGCATTTCCCGACGATAAAAAAAAAAAGGTTCGACTCTAGGTACGTTTTGACGCTTAGTATGGAATAGATATGTTTTCAAATTTTTTTTTAGTGAATATTTCCGATGTTTTAATAGTTATTTTGCTATTCGGGGTCGGGCCATATCCAAACACTAACGACTTTGGCCCTAAATTCCTATTAATGAAAAGGTATAGCGTGATATTTTGTCTTTTTAATATGCCGCGGATTTTGTGAAACATATTGGTAGTAAATGTTGGGTACTTATGTATGCACGTAAGAAATTATACTTTTTTGGCGTAACAGAACAAAAATAGCTAAAGATTTCATCCTGTATATCACAACTCTGTTTGTAAAAGGAATGCAGCTAACTTCATCATGTCGCTTTTTGGCTGTCGGTGTGCGCGCGCATCGTAAAAATTTTACTTTCTTTTTTTCAAATGTGCCAAAAGAAGTAAAATTTGAATAATTACTGAAATTCATTTATAATTTATATGCATTACTGTAGTGCATTGATATTATTACAATTGTTTCATTGATACAACTAAGTATATACTCGTAATAAAGTCTAAAATATAACATTATCGAGAAACAAAATATAAAAAACAATTATAACATAAATATTTATAAATAGATTGGCAAATAAGCTACCTATTATAAGTTAAAGAGCGCCACGCGCGTAACGACAGTGCAGTGGCGTCAAGGACGTCGCCGTTCACTTTGTAGGACTGGTTCGACGAACTATCGATACGTATGTTATTAATTGGGTTGGGTTTCATTCACTTGCTAAATATTTATGTTTAGAAGGGATTGATCGGTATATATATATATATATATATATATATATATATATATATATATATATATATATGAGAGAAGAGTATTATCATCAAAGTACTTAAAGTTAATTATAACTGATTTTTTTTCATAAGTACAAAGAAGGCATAGATGCTTATAAATGTCAGTAAAATATTAAAGTCATCAATGACATATCAAAACTTTTTTTTTCACATGTAATGAATAGGTCCTAAGTATATATTATAATGTATATATTATAATTCATTATACGTAATTAATGATTATCGCAATCTGAGTTTACCCATTGAACTTTCAACAAATGCCATCATAATATGTTTACATACATTGAGGGAAACGGTTACAAGTGTTTGAAATTTTAATAGTTAGAAGGTTATAAAATAAAAGATACACAGTAGCTCCTATCTAGTAAGTAGTATCGTAGTAGTAGAGATAGGTTCTCTAATTCATTATACATCTAAATTATATTATACTTTGGTGTATTTCATCTAAAAGATCCTTTTCCATGACACATTAAGCTTGACCTACATTCTCTTTCCACTAAAAACATATCACGCATACCAAAGCCCTTATTATTCTGGTACTTGTAACATAACTCTTATTCGCGTGCATGAATCGCTAAGTATATTTTATTTTTGCTTTATAATAAATTAATCTAAAGTTTATTTACCTACATATCATATTACAATCCCATTAAAAATACTCACAGAAATCCTGTTAAGATTTTAAAATGGTTGTTAATATATTTAAAAACAATAGTGCTATGAATAAGAAAATGTTAATCATACGTAATTATGATTAAAATAATAAATAGCTGTGTAAAAATATAGGAAAAGTAATCAAGTAATCAGTAAACGATTAAAATTCTAATATTCCAATAAATTATTACTAACACGGAGTTTCGTTGGAAAACTAATCGTATAGGTTGTTAAAATTGATGCATCGTTTCTTGAATCAACCTTGTACTTGAGCGAGGTAAAGTTTAAATAGAAATTTTCTATCGGTAAGCGCCGCCATACAGCCTCACATATAGAATAACAATGAGCCGAGTTTTATTTCTCAGGGCGAGTGAACGGTTTTGAGAAAACAATATTCCGATAGACGTGTTGGAACTACTGATGTACAACAAATTCCTCTGTCGTCATTCCTTAATATGTTACGTGAGAAATAAATTGACTGTTAATACATAATTTGGCTTGATACATAAAAAAATTGGGTTTTTTCTAGACTTTTAATGATTATACCTTAAAGACTAAAGTTATGTAAAATTTTAAGTTTTCATATTATTTACATAAGTAATATGTTTTATCCATAGAAATTTCTCGCCCTATAATTATTTCATTAGGAAATTGATATTTTTCCTGTTAAGGACATCCTTTTCCCAATACTAAATCAGAACCGTGAAAAGCAAGCAAAAGATGAAGATAGATAATAGCAAAATTACTTTAAAAAAAATTAACAAGAATATTTATTAATAATAAGAAAATATTTATAATTTGTGTTATTGTCGAAGAAAGAACATTCAAATTGTATGTGTAACTAATATTAATACTAAACACCCTTGGTATTGTTAATCTGGAACGGAATACGTAATATGATCATTAAATAAAGGTTTTGGTATTGGGTTTTATTTAAAAAAAAACAATTACAAGTTTAAGTCGAATGGTCCAACACTAAGGGCCAATCTGATTTAAACATGTCAAATATGTTTAGCAAATGTCAAACAGTACAAACTTAATGTTTACAAAACATTTGAAATTTAATCAAGAGTTCTATGTAATTGGCCCTTTGTATGTAAGGGATTGTATTTTAATTAGGTACTGTTAGATTTAATGTTGTTTAACACAAGACAAACAGAATTTATATGACACTGATTAAGCATTCGTATACCTCACAAGTTGAAGTCAAACGCGTTGAATTCTAAATAACTATACTTTACATCCAACAAGAATTAACCTCAGATATGTTATAATTAAAGGTTACTGCAGAACTATCCTAAGAAAACATCAACGTAATTGACTAAAAATATGTAATAATATTCTTTTAATTTCAAATAACTTATGCACGACTACTAACTAAAGTTATTTGTTGATTCATACATTATACCTTCTTATAAATTACTATACTGCGGTATCCGCGATCATTACGATCGATGTAAATATCTGCGAATGTTCACGTTTATATGACAAGTGAAATTATGCACTGCATCGAGACAAAGTAAATTATCTTTTGTTTATAAGCAAGAGATAATATTTTATTTTTATACGCGGTTTTTCCATATTGAGACGTTCTAACATGGTTTGGCTTTTCTCCAGATACAGAAATCATCACATAAAAATATGTGATACGTGTCCTGAATGCAACTGTGGCTATATGATTTAAATGTTTATTTCTTTCTTTACAGAATTGGCCTTTGCGGATTCGACAACCCACATAGAGATCAAAAAACAGAAGAACTGAAAAAACACATAGGACAGGTAATATTTGATGTTAATCTACTATTGACCCTATCACTTAGAATTCAGAACCTCTAAGTGTATATCGAATTAAAAAAATTACTGATATCTTACGAATATCTCAAAACAGAACAAAAAGTATCCTCTGCCATCGTCCTAATAATAAATTGTATACAAAAACTAGATATAGGTACTTAAATGCATTAAATCAAAACAACTAAACAAGAATATAATGTCTTCTTTATAATACTTTTGCATTAACATTAGTAAATAATAAATGTCACATGAAAATGACGATGAAATCAAATCCAAAATGGATAAACTTCGTGAGTAAAATATTTTAGGCAACGTTGTTATTTTCGTGCTAAATGCGCCACATAGATTAATACGCCTGTGCCCAAATAGGGCAGATACTGAGAATCACATGAACGTTCTCTTGTCCTAGCTCCTTCCTTATATAGGTATTCGACTGAGTACTATTAGGTTCATTAAAAGTTACGAATTACGCCTATTTTTGTCATATACTTTGTTAATAATACTTAATAAAGGTAAGGCAATTTTCTGGCAATAAATTAATCTAAGCTTGCTTGGACAATAAATTACAAAAAATTCGAACATACTACGAGTATTACCATACATATGAGATGTCTAATTAAGAAATTTACATAAGATTATATCGCCACAATTCAAATCAGTTCGTCATTTAATTCCCAGAAATTTCACTGTTATTATAATTCAAATTTTGATACAGGAGCTACCTAATAAACTTTTAATAGGCATCTCATTTACCTTACACGCAAAAGCCTGTAAATCAAGTCGGTGATGTAATATTACGGTTGGAGATGAACTGATCGATGGGTAAGCGTCAAACAAAGTTAAGGAAACGCCCACGTATTAAAAAAGATCATTACTATACGAATCACGGGCGGTAATGTTCGAATATTAGATGGTTGATGAATTCAAATGCATGATGTTTTCAGATGAATCTGGGAAGCACTTGCGAAATTTCATAATTATAGGGATTGTAAATTCAACCCAATTTTCTTGTTAATGGCTTCAAAGCATACCGATCATAAAGGTTCTCTAAAAACCAACTACAAAAATCTAAATATTGGTGAAGATAAGATTACTCTAGTTGGTTCTTTAACTCTGGATAATTTTGTTTTTTTATTAAGTATTTTGATTTGTAACAAGCAACAATCTATACATACGACTTTTATTAACACTATCTACAAACTAACGGCGGATTCCAATAATTGTAATTTTGCTTGGAGCTCTCAATCTTCTATCTCTTGTAAATTATAAGCACTTTAGATAGGTTATTGGAACTATTGTGATTAATATTATCGGTCTTAAGTTAGTTCTGCAATTATGACTACTACTCACTTTTAATATCATCATAATATTTTCTAATATACATTCTTCTTATAATAATATTTATGTATTGCTATAATATTTTAATATATAAAAGATTATAAAATATAGACGAACACACATAATTATTTATTTTTTTACTTTTTGTCACTAATATTAAATATTTTATGCTTTATTTATAAAAAATCCATAGAATTTTTTAATCAAATCTGTAGACTTAGTAGAAGTGATGTAATCTTCATACTTAAGTGTTTCTAACAGCAAAAAATATTTAAATATAAATGAAATCATCAAACAATACGACTCACTTCATTTATTAGTACTTGTGCCAATGAAGACGTCTTTACTTTTTATTTACATAAAATGCATCTTTATCACATGTTGTAAGTCATTACCTTAAATAGATAGATTCCATTATGGCGTAAAGGAATGCTGACAAAGAATTAAAGCGATTATTTTAATTTAGATACAATAGAAACTAAAGTAGATAAATAAAACGAGAAATTTGGTTGATCTGGACCAACTAGATCACTATCTATACCGTTAATCACATTGTCATCTTTTTGCCTAGTCTGACACCTACGCGTATTTCTTTTATGAGACACGACAAAAACCAGCGTTTCTAAAGCACCATTTTTGACCGATACAAAACTGTGTCGTTTTATAATAATTGGACTTAGTTACTTGAATTATTTTTATGATATAACTAGCATTGCCCACGACTCCGCCCGCGTTCAGATGTCCGAAAACCAAATTCTTAGGTTTTACATATTAGTATACTCTTACATTGCAGTTTTTGTATTTTTTCTCAGAAATGAGATATTTTCCCGCGATGAAAAGTATTCTATATGTTGACCCGGATGACTAGCTACCACCATACCAAATTTCATCAAAATCCCTCCAGTAGTTTTTCCTTGATGCGGGTTACCGACAGACAAAAATTCTAAAAACTATAGATTCGGCCTCTGCACCGATAATAATGTCTATTTGAATAAGATTTTCCAAAAAATATTTAATGTACAGATTCGGCTTAGTTACAATTTTATTATATGTATAGATTACTTACTTAATATTATAAATTTGGCTTTTCAAATGCCCTTACGCAGTAACAGCTTGACGTAATTTTTGCATAGAAATAGTATATGGATCGAAAATAACTTAGGTTACATTTTATTCCTGCACTTTCAAATACCTATTACTACCTACCTATGCAACACCCTATTGCACTGTGGCGAAGGGTTTGGCTGTGGATTTGGTAGTAGGAACCTCACAGTACCCTGTCGTTGACGGCCGACAGAGCCCCCTTGATGGATTTCCCCAGCATCATCAAAACCAAAAAACCTATTACCTTTTTATTACATAGGTATATAATCTTCTGTAACAGCTCTGAAGGAGTACTTAAAATTGGTCTAAGTCTAGAGTTCATAAGTTATTATGAAGCTATAGGTCATATTGTTGTAAGTTTCGATAAAAACGTGTGATCGTAAAGCAAACAGCGTAACAAACAATAGGGCCAAAATAAATCTGACATTCGGTAAATGAGGTAACGAGCTGTCGTACTGAAGGTCGGTATATAGCTAATACCTAGAAAATTGATTGAATAAAATAAATAATATAGTTTATTTTAGTATGTGAATATAAGTCAAGTTATAAAAATGAGAATTGCTATTAAAATTTCAATTATGTTACACGTAAAATTTTTAAGATGCACCCTTGTCAATCAATGTGTCCTTTTCTTAGAAAAATTCCATGTTATCTTTCACTGTTTACGCTTTAGTTTTAAGTTTTATTTATATAGAAACATTTTGTAGATTTTAACTAGGTATATATAGTTCTTAAAATCACTATACTTTTTTATTATCATTTTTGGTTTCGACTACTTTAAGCTAGAATTAAAATAAATAAAACTATGACAAATATATGAAAAAAAAACAGCTTAATTCATTAGTTATGGGTACCATGATGTAATTTTTTCATCACATGCACCTATTAAAATATATAATGAACATACTCGTAGTACCTATATAATCATACAGTAGGTAATGGACTTTATATTGCCCGTATCTAACACATGCTTATTGCTCAGGTTAAATCGCTCGTAGCCAAATATCTTTATGGTCAAGGAAGGTCAACAATGTGTGAAATAAAATAATCGTCTTCGTAACCTGTTTCTTAATCTAATGATGTAGAACAAATCTGTTTTGATGACTTAGAGTTCTTACTATCGTATATCAGAGATTTTTATAACATACTAGCAGTGCCCGCGGCTCCGCCCGCGTTCAGATGACCAAAAACCAAATTCTTAAGTTTTACATATTAGTATACTCTTACATTACAGTTTTTGTATTTTTTCTCAGAAATGAGATATTTTCCCGCGGTAAAAAGTACCAGCTATCACCATACCAAATTTCATCAAAATCTATCCTGATGTTATCCCGTGATGCGGTAACAGACAGACAGACAAAAATTCTAAAAACTATAGATTCAGTCTCTGTACCGATAATAATGTTTATTTCAATAAGATTTTCCAAAAAATATTGAATGTACAGATTCAGCTTAGTTACAATTACAATTTTATTATATGTATAGATTACACTTGAATTTAGCAGCCAGCCCACCTGCAGCGTTGAGTGATCACACTAAATGAATAAATTATATTATTTCTATAATAAGAACGAAACGGTTAATCTTAGTAAATCAAAAAAGGTTTATTAGTTAGTTTTGTAAGCTCTGTTACTAAAATTATTCTGAAGAAAAATGTAAACCAACATACATATATGTTATTTATAAAAGCAATCAAATTTCGGGACAGATGTTTCTATTATTTTGTTCTAAAGCTTATGTTCTAAAGCTTGTTAATGTAGCACGATTATATTTTTTAACAGGAGATGTTATATTATTCTTATTCAGCAGAACCCGCGGCTTCGATCGCTCTAAAACTACAAAAATATCTCTAAAAAGATAGTTTCATACAAACTTTCATCCCCAAGCTTAAAATAGTTCTGATCATAATTTTTGTTTGGATTGTATTATAATGTATTTTCCCGTGGGAATTAGGTAATCTTCCGCGGTAAAAAGTGGCCTATGTCACTCTCCAGCCCTCCAACTATATCCACACAAAAAATCACGCCTATTCGTCACTTCGTTTCGACGTGAAAGAAAAACAAACAAACAAACAAACAAACAAACAAACATACTTTCACATTTATAATATTAAGTATGGAAATATGGACTATACAAAACGTCTGAAGCGTGCTTAATATTTTTGGATTATTGTAGCCAGTTTACCAAAAAAAATTAACGTTGCGTTACATGTCTGATTATGTCCATCTTGTATGCGTGCATTATGCACGGACGAATGCCGCAATGGTATTTCAAGCGACGATTATTAGGTGTACTTGTGTTTCATGAATGTTTTTTTCGCTACCAACTGCGAATAATAATTAAAATGTATTAGATAAATATATATCAGCTATATTAATAGTTATAGTAAAGTCTTATTCAATGTATGGAAATAAATATTAATAAATATCTAAACTAATATTATAAATAAGAAAGTTTGTGATGTGTGTTTTGTGTATGGATGTATGTATGTTTGTTACTGTTTTTCGCAAAAACTACTGAATGGATTTTAATGAAACTTTGCTATAATATTGCTCATATATCAGAATAGCACATAGGCTATTTTTTATCCCGAAAAAATATGCGGTTCCCGTGAGATAGATTTGTTTTTATTTTTCCTAGTAAAGAATATTTCAATTAAAAATTTGCACATTCTCACAAAGTATTATAAGTTAAATAACTGATGCGAATTTTGTATTTAAACAAAAGTGTAATTTAGCAAAGAGCACTGATCTCATAGGTCAAAATGTTACTAGAACCCGTTCGCTTGTCAGACGCCCTTGTTATCTCATAACATAAATCACATACATTCAATAAAAGCCTCGTATTTTCTTGTTCAAGGCCACAGACGGTGTGTATAACGGCTCCATAAAGACAATTACCGTTCATTTTTTGGTCAAAGGTGATTCACCCTTCGTAACTTGAGATGAATAATCCTCGAAACCTTCGAAGGACGTATCGTGTATCCCAATAATTTTGAAATGGAAGGCATTAGGTCGAACGAATTTGACTTTCTTCAAATAAATAATAATTAATTGCAAAATTATACACCAACGTAGTTATTAGTACGTGTAGAATAAATAGAAACCTAGCTATTAATTATAACTTCCTGACTGTAAGGAATTACTTCCCTGTTGGACACGAATGCTTAGATTTTAATTTGTTTTTTAACCCCCGACGCAAAAAGATGGGTGTTAAAAGTTTGACGTCGATGTTTGCCTGTGTGTGTCTGTCTGTGGCATCGTAGCTCTTAAACGGATGGACCGATTTCGATGCGGTTTACCAGTTTCCTTGCGGTGGTTCTTAGCTATGTTTGATTAATATCGGTCCAGCAGTGTAAAAGTATCAGCTCTTTTCCAAAATGATATTAGGCATTTTGGCGTATGATTACTGGATTAAGTGCTTCACGCGTGCCAGTGTAATCGTTAAATGACAATTAATTTGCGTTTGGTTTGGTTTTTTTATAATATTGAATTTATAATTATTTTCTTAAATAACATAATAAGTATCGTTTTTTTTTTTGGTTCAGGGCGTCAAAATCAAAATGGATGACGCTGGTAATATACTCATCAGACGCTATTCCAAGAGTAGCGTGTTCGTGAAGAGTACAGCCGCCACCAGCAACGAAGAGACGGCGATAGGCCAGGACATTGTGAAGCTGCCAGGCTACGCGCTGGAGCAAGAAAAAATATTTAAGGTATGCATTTTCTTCCATGATTGCCCTTTTGATTAATTATGGTAGATCATATTATATGTATATATAGACCATTAATTACTGTCCTTCTACGTTGAAAGTATCCCTACATGTTAGTCCACGATATTTTATATGCTAAGTTTTATTCACTTATTATCTTTAACAGTTTAGTCTTGTTCATGTTATAATGAAGTTAAATTAATTAAGTAATTAATATATTTAACAAAGGATAAATCAATACTTTAATTCTTTAGCCGATTATCTCGACTTATTTTTATATTGTCGCAGAACAATGTTTCTCTTGAGCCTTAGACTAATTGGTACATAAATAACTAGTAACTAACCAATTCTTACATGAGAAACTTAGGATCTACCTAAAACTTTCTTAAATTTACGAGTATATTTGACATTTAAAATAGTACAATAAATTGCTTCCAGCTCTATTTTAAAAGGTCACACTGAATCTTTTTTTAGAAGAATAAAAAAGAAGTGATATATGGTTATTTGCAACCTTTAATTTTTTTATTAATCTGTCGATAATAACCTCCTGCACCCTACTAATAACTAGAAACTGAAAACCAAATTTTATAGGGCTTTCACTATCAAATTAAGAACTTGAAATTGAAAGTGAAATAGGCTTTAAAAATAGTTTCTGCAAGATAAAAGATAGCTGCTTAGTAATTTTAAAGGGATTTAGGGATTTTTATTGGGGATACAGGATTCGGGTAGTGTAATACGCTAGCCAAGCCACGAGCGAGAGCTAATGACAAAATAAGTTGGTAACCTTTATTATTACTTGGTCCGAGAGTAATGAGTGTTTACCTGTAATCATTTCCGTCAAGACGGATGCCTTTATGTAGTGAAATTTCGAAACACGCTCTATTAATTTCACGGCTGCCCGCATAATTACCCAGCATTCTTACGAGCTATGGTTATATATAAAGAGGCATTTTATTATTATTAAGAAATACAAGTACATCTATATGATGAAAGTGTCTGTCCGTTTCGTAGATATTCAAGGTTTAACTATTGAAATTTTTATAAAGTTGCCAAAAGTATAATTAACACGATTAGGTTTTAGTTAGTAATTTATAGTTTTTTTGGCCGGATGTATAATTATACCTAGTTAACATAAGTTGACCAACTTGACAAATGTAATAAACGAATCTTAAGCTTAAATTTTAAGCTTCCACTAGAAGCCATTGAACAACTCCACTATCCACTTCCTAGCTCCATCATCGAATAAGAGTATCGAAAGGTCATGAGTATCTTACAGTTAAATATTTTACATATTTTTCATACATATTTTGATATTTTTTTATATACTTTCCTAATAAAATTTTGATCCCCCTCGAATGTACATATATTCAATCGCGTCCTTCCCAAATTATACTTTTAATATTTCAACATTTCTGAGAAAGTGTAATCTTTATAGGAGCTAAACACTAAAATTAAGTGCAAAGAAAGTTACATGTAATGTTGTAATTTAAAGATATTGGTGGTCATTTCATGTGCATCACGACCTGCACATGCACGACTCACTTTGACCGTGACATTGCCACATCATTTCGTCATGATGGACTTACGAAATCATCAAATTCGTCCGTTCTCACGACATATATCTAACTATAATATTTCTAATGCATTTCTAGAACTACAATTTAGTTACAAAATTTCTAGAGTAATTTTCTCTATTACGTTGTCAGTTCAGTTCCATATAGAACATGTATCGCAATTGTTGTATGTATGTATGTATGTATGTACATATGTTTGAAATATACTAATTAGGTCAATCTAAACAATAGAGGATTCACTTCCTAGTACGCAGTAAAACGTTAATTAGTAATTCATACTCCATTAACTACCTTTTATGTAACTGAAGAACAATGCGAAAAGATAGCACGGAAAGGAATGGTCATTGCTTCACTTATTTTGTTTGGATCTTGTTCAATTTCCGTGGGAATGATGAAAGTTATTAGATGTATCAAGAAGCCCTTCCAGATTTTATGGTGTGAGCTATGTATTTTTTATTTGAATCTAATATTTTTGATTAATGATATTATGAAGGCAGTGCAGTGGTAGCCCAGTGATGACGCGCTCGCTTGAAGAACCAATTGACGCTGGTTCAAATCCCGGGTCTCGCACATCTTATATTTATTTACTTTCTTATATTTTGTACACGCGTGTTTTATTAAGCAAATCTTTTGCAGTTTAAATAATAAGTATAAGTTATCTTTTAAAATTCTTCATAGATTGTTTTAAAATTTTGACACAATTAGATTTACATGTAGAACTTTATACTTTCTATTTTATTCACTCCAGTGCATCAACTTCTAACTCAATCAATTTCTCCATTGAACCGATCGCCATGAAAACCGATATGAGTATATGAGTAGAATATTTTGACGTTATCTATTTTGCTGTAACTTACTATTAGATTGGTTAAATCTACATCAATATCATACCCATCTAAATCCCTCCAGTAGTTTTTCCGCGATCGGTCACAGACAAACAGACAGACAGACAAAAATTCTAAAAATTCAGCATTTGTATAGATAATAATGTCTATTTCAATTAGATTTTTTTTTTAATATTTAATTTACAGTAGTATATGTATAGAAACATTACTTAAAAACCAAAACTTTGTACAAAAGTTCTTTATTCAATTCTAAAAGTTCAATTCTACTTAATATAAATACTTAAGGAAATAAAAAGTTCTATTTCAAAGCTCATTCATAGTGAATTTTTAGAACAAACAATATAAAATGTTGAAATTTCTAAGTAACGAAGAGATTCTTAAGCGCATCGTCTGATCTTTCACACACATTCCCTTGTAACAAAATGATATAAAACAATGCTATCGTTATATTAATAAACAGGCTATTTTCAAACATTTTGTCCAACGTGCATGTTGTAGTTTATAATAATTTTAAGTCCTTTATAATGCAAATAGCGAGAACATTTAAAAGAATATACGAGTGTTTGTTGAGTAACTGTATTGCTGATTAGATTTTATAGATAGATAATTATATTTAAATAATTTCCTTTTTATTATAATTATAGTAGAAATTTTATCTTAAAATACAAATAATATTTAAAACTTTACAATAGCAATAAATAATTTAAAAAAACACAACCTATTTATCTTCTATTAATTACGCAGCTCTCTCTATAAAAGATACTAAATACTTTCCATCATGACGATCTTAACTTTTCGGTGACCTTGAAGGTGAAGGTGCTGATGGCTTATAAAGGCACCGTAGTTATTTTTTTTGACAGCATCGATTTTTTTTTTCTCTTGGTCAATGTCAAATCTGCTATAAAGCCACTGTTACAGTTATTACGCAACTTTTGATACGTTTTGTTTGGTAATTGTTAATTTTTTTTACACAATAAATAAAAATTACAGAATTAAAATTTACTGGCACATTAGTAAATATATTTTAATAATACACTTAAATAGCAGTTATGTTATTATCAAATATTTTTCTTCATTAAAAACATATACCAACTAGATAATTAGAAAATTGTTATTCCTATACATGAAAATAATTACGTTAAAGAGAAACCAACGATGTAGCAACATCAAATCAAGCTGCTATGCACTCGAGCGTTATTTTCATTATTGACCGATACCTTGTTATGTAATATTAATTCGATAAGATCGCCAAGTGTATTGATTTGTCTGACTTCATCTGTTTATTACGATGCTATCGTGCGTATCAAACAATGGCCCACAGCTCGATCTGCTTCACGAAATTAGTCTAATTATTATTATGTTGATATGTGATTAAATTAAATGTTAAGAATATAATTTTACTAGCCCTTTAGTACTAGCACTAGCACTAGGAAAAAAGGAACCCTTATACTTACCAATTGGTTGTCCATCTCTCTGTTTGTCTGTCTGTCAAGACCCTTTTTCTTAAGAATACGTGGAGGTGCGAAGTTGAAATTAATATCAAATACTCAGGTCTGCAATCCATTGGAGCTATGAAAAAATCAAACTTAAATCACCGCAATCAAAAGATACCGCATTGTTTATGACGCATGTTCGCATTAAATTTGACAATAAACAATGTCTTAGAACATAAGTAAAGGGAAAAATCTGAAAACCATAAATTTATAGTTACCTTACAGAAAAAAAATGTTTTGCTATTATAAACGTATTTTAAAGTTTGACATGCTACGGAACCCTCGCTGTGCAACCAGACTTGCACTTGTCCGATTTTTAATTTTAAATAAGTACTTACTCAATACAGGACGACACGTTTGGTTCAATTTGTAGTGACCCTACTTGCTGCGCCAGCGGTCGCGGGTTCGAGTCCCGCTGGGGGTATTCAAATGTGTGATGAGCATGAATGTTTGTACTCCAGTCATGGATGTTTATATTTATAATATGTATGTATTTAAAGTATATGTAGTGTATTAACTACCTGGTATCCATAACACAAGCCTCGTAGCTTACCATGGAACTAGATGGTGCTGTGTATGAATGTCCCAACATATTTATTTAACATATTTAATTAACTCTATATTGTTATTTGTTCACAGCTATTCGACATGAAAAAGTTCCAATCAAATGTAAATCGAGAGTTACGTCGCGCTTATCCAGACCGCCGAAGATTGGAGACGCAGTGCTTGAGTGCGGTGGCTTTCGTCAAATCAGACAACGAACTGCTCGAGTGTCCCATATGGGTCTTGGTCATAAACGTCGTTGCTATGGACATGTTGAAATCGAAATTGCCTCCGGGTAAGAATTGTTGTTTTATTTAATATGAACTAACGCCCTGACTTCGTGTACGTAAAGTGTCAAGTACATATAAGAATACATAAATACGTATACATAATATGTCTATATTGATATCTAAATAAGTAATATAATAATTGACTAATTTTAAAGTTTTATATCTCACTTATAAATCTTAAATTATTCGATAAAAATAGCGCACCATCGTCCGTTGATGGTACTGAGAAAAACCTTCGCAGATGTTTATATTTTCACAAAGATTTCTGACTTAGTAGTAGAGATCTCGTGAAACTTATTAACAATAGGAGTAATGATATAAGAACGTATTCTTAGAATACCAAGAGAAGTAGATAATATATTTATTTATTTAACGGTTAGTATAGATTTCTCAGAGATGAGATGTTTTTCCGCGCTAAAAAGTATCCTATATGTTAACCCGGATAACCAACTATCACCATACCAAATTTCATCAAAATCTGTCCTGTGGTTTTCCGTGATGCGGTCACAGACAGACAAAAATTCTAAATACAATAGATTCAGCCTCTGTGTCAATAATAATGTCTGTTTCAGTAAGATTCTCCAAAAAATATTCAATGTACAGATTCGACTCAGTTAGAATTTTATTATATGTATAAATACATTTTTATTGTACAAATACTATATTACACATGTAAAAATATAAGTTAACCATTTCATAGGAAACTAAACTATTTTTTTTATATTTAATAACAATTTTTAATACTAAATAACATAATAGAATGGAACAGGGCTTTTTCCATATTTTCTGGTATAGGGAATTTCCAAATGTCTAAAATATGTTGCTTCCGGACAAACTTTAACTTTAAAAATCTAAGAATCATTACTATGACATCATTACTAAGATCAAGTGACCAATCGAATGAATTGTAAATAAACTTTTTTGTATTTAAAACATACATATAGTACAGGAACTAAATACATGTATATCCGGTTAAAAGTTGACTGACCTAATCGAGATATAGGTAACTTTTTGTAGCCTTTGGATTTCCTTTTAACCCATGGTTTTTTAATATGAGTCAATGATGACAAACTATCGGTATGATCATTATTATGATGACGATTCATTTCGCTATTGTGTTTTTTGTTGGATTTAAACCAATTTATTTATTTATTATCATATTATAATTAAAACATAGTACGTCTATTTAGTTATTTTTATAGTTGATTAATTGTTGTGTTGGGTTCGCTCGCTGAAAAGATTATGCTTATTTAACGAAAACGTGTGTGTGTACTTATGTAATTGTACGCACGTAAGAAATTATAACTTCTTTGGCGTAACAGAACAAAAATAGCTAAAGATTTCATCCCGTATGTCACAACTCTCTGTTTGTAAAAGGAATGATAAATTAATAAAATAATTAAATAAGGCGTAATATGCATATTATAGTCAGATATTTATGGAATATAATTTAAGGAAAGAATATAATATTGTATATTAATTGTCAGACAATAACAACGGTTACCATGGCAACAAACAGTTATCAGCTAACTTCATCATGTCGCTTTTTGGCTGTCGGTGTGCGCGCGCATCATAAAAATTTTACTCTCATAACTTTTTCCAAACGTCCCAAAAGAAGTATAACTTCAAAAAGGGGCCTATGTTTAAATCCATTACATATGATTTACATAGAAACAATCGATTTCATGCCTTTGCACGATTCATAAAATCGCCTTTTTTTACACGGTAGTAAGTTTTTGTATGAATTATATAGTTATACCTAACGCACATCCTTCGTTTCGTATAAAAATTCCTCGAACATTTGTTCGCTGCAAAACGTTAATAATTTTGTAACACTGATGCTTTGAATTCCTTTGTTAGATACGATCTTAAACTGGACTAATTAATTTGTATATTTAATTTTAGTTACTGTTTTATTATTTTTTTACTGATATATAAATAATATAAAGTCCATAATGAATGTACACTTTAGTTAAACATTTTATTCAAATTATATTTTAAATTAAATTACTATGAAGACATTTATAAATAAAATACACAAAAAACCTAGAAACCTCTTGAATAATCCTATACTAATTGAACGCACATTGGCCACACATTTGTCATGGTACAAGTTCAACAAAAACTCCAGAACAGGAAACCATTTTGTCCAACCTATTTTATTACCTTGGCAATACCAAGCTTAAATTAAAAACTAATCAAACGAAGACCATGTAGATACTTCCGCATACTAAAAACTTAATAATGTAAAATAAGAAAACGTACAACCATAAAATAAATTGTTCTATAAAAAATATAAATAAAGGGTCCGAGTAGTGGATAAAATCATAGCCCTGGGCTTAATGTAAATTGTGGTCTACCATAAAATAATCTATATCGGATAGCGTGTGCTTGATCATTAAATTTGACGTTATGGTGTATTTCCCGCATTGCACTAGCAGAGGAGTCAAATCGGGGTAAAAATCACATTAGTGTTGCAAAGTTGATATAAATTCACAATACAATTTGTTCAAAACAAATTACCTAACAAGAATCGCCATGACAAAGACACAGTGTTCCGAGGAGACTAACATTTCTTATCTGAAAGCAGAAAAGAATACCATCTCAATAATGCACCATGAACAGTATTTGTCAGAACATCTCTTGTATTTCACAATGTAAGTAGTTTAACTGAAGATAGTATTGGTGTCGTTTTCAATAATTCAAACTCGTGAGATAACCTACGCCTTCCTAAACGCAGTATCGTCGTTTACTAAACACCTATTGTGCGAATATTACAAGGACGCTATCGAACATCGGTCACGCGTCATCGGTGTAGACATTAATTATCTTCAAATAGACATATAAACACATGTTAGGTTAGCGTTTGCTTATTTACTTATATTTAATTTAAAAAAGCTGGACATATTCTATCAAAGTTTTATTTAAAAAGTACAGAGAAAATAACTATATGAGAATAAGTAGTGAAATCGAAATGTTCTTATAACACATACGAGTACATACATATACAACAAAAAACAATAAAAAATTTGGTTAAATTAATTTTAAATCCAATATTACATATTTTACCTTGTCTCAGACCTCCAAAGAGCGCAGCAGCTTTATGCAATAACAATGAACCGACCTCAACACTTATCATTAAGAAACGGCTAACGAACAAATTTTAATTTTAATAATGCAACATTCTCACGCCGAACTAAATATACGTTTTAAACAACGTCGTTCCAGCCTTGGTTAGAGTAAAATTTTTGTAATGAGGGGAAAATAAACTTTAATTTGGATAATTTTAATTTGTTGTAAGAAAAAGTAGATACTCGTTTAGTGAGAAGCACCACGGTTTCGGAGTAATTATGTATGTATGTGTATGAAAAGCTTTAACTTGATCTTTTCAAGGTGATCGCCAGTCATTAAGCTGGCATATTTCATTTATCCGCTTTAAGGACTTCCGGATTAATTTCGATAATTATGAAGAGCAGATGTTTCTCAAACTTACAATATACTGTATTATACCTACATACATATGTAAAGATATTTGTTCTCTAAAGTAAACATTTTTCATTTCTAGCAATTTTATTATAAATTACAAATCTGATTTAGTTCTCATAGCACGCAACCGCATCAACTATGCACTGGCTCACTTCTCAGTAGCTCGCTTATTGTTGTGCAACAATGCTATCTAACTTCGATCTCGTGATGCACTCGTCATTTCACTCAAGTCTACCATAAATTTCTAGCCTCGCTTAACCATATTGCCAACTTAGCATCTATTCCATATCCGATATTGGTTTTGTGCAAATCATACGAAATTTATGGGAAAGAAACCGCATAGCAAGATTCCCGTGATTTCCCAGCTCCGATAAGATTTAGATTTCCTGCAGCGGTTACGCGGTCTAACCGCTGTTTATCGGATATAAAGCTCAAACAAATTTATTGATATTTAATCTATTTTCATATTAAACTCTGATAAGCATTATTTTAATGTACTAAATGATAATTATAAAAGATTCTTTTAACATAAACCATTTAAAGTAGAACGTACTTGATATGTTACTCTTTGTACCATTACACATGACGTCACTTATCTCTACATTAAATTCATGTAATCAATAATTCCTATTAGAATCAATGTTCCCGATATTCCTACACGCACAAAACAAGGCACATTGAGAACAGACACAAAATAATTTAATAATAATATTTAAAATGTCATTTTCACCTAATGTCCACATTGGGCCTGGATCGTTCCTTAATGGATATGTCCGTAATAGGACTTGATTCTTTCTTAACAGTAACGTCATGTTCTGCGCGCCGACAAATTTTGATTTCAACATGAAGGTCGGGCGCACTCGTGACTGGCTGTGGCATAACTAGATCGTCAGAACAGATCCATTTACCTATATCTCATTAGAGAGTTCATTTCAAACTTTAGATTAGCAGCAATCGAAATTTTAAGTTGGTCAAAGAAATCGTGACTAATGTTATGCAAAATAACGCGAATAGCCTACAAGAGGAAGTTACTGTTAAAAAAGCAAAAGTGATGTTGATGTCGCAAATACCAACTAATGGAAACATTGAGTAACGCACGGCATTGTGTTTTAAAAAATTTCAGTTGTTGGTAGTATACTTTGTACGAAAATACAAAAGTTTTAGGCTAATAACATGTGTGCCACTCCATATATTTCTCAGAGATTATCTCTAATCGCCGGGGAAGTCTTTTGAAGCTCGTGTCAGAAATTCTCTTATCTTAAATTTTACGATGACCAGTTTCTGGACATTGAAAACTTTTGTACCATTTAAGGATTCAGGTCATTGACGAAGCTAATCTGGATTCTAACGTCGTTGCGAATTGAGTTTGTTGTCTGAACACACGTTGATCTTTTAAAGTCTAGATATAAGATATGTTAATTACCTGTACACCTAGATTATTTACTTCTAACACACCTGCCCTTGCAACGTTTAAAATTTAGGCACCGCCTTTTTTCAAGTCATTTATTTAATATATACTTGTAGATAACAAAATTCAATACATTTTACTTCAGAAAACATGAAAACAAATTTAAAATTTCAGAAACACTGTGATGTAATATAATGAACTAGAATGTTAGAAATTATTTTGTTCAATTACTTACGTGCTATTAGTAGCTAGGTCAGTCATCTAATCGTGTTAAGATTCGGTTATTTAAATTGTATTGAAGTAATTTATCGATTCATTATGGTAAAAATTGCCTCACAGCCACTCAATTCTACGAGTCATTATAAAGGGTTTCGTTTATTATAAATTAATAAATGCAGCCTACTGTGTGCCTCTAAATCTTTTAAGTGATTTCCGCTGGTTCATTCAATTTAATTTGGAATTTCCAATAAGCATTTGAGAACAGATAAATTTAAAATTAGATAAACGTTATACAGATTTTTTTATATTATATATACATATATATGAAATATCTATAGTATTGCAACAACATATAACTTAACATGTCTTTTATTACTAAATGAAAATAGCAGTCTATGAGACGTGCAGATTTCCTCATCATCTGCTTTTCTTTACTATATGGTAATTATGTCGAAAATGATTAACACATGAAAATATCAGAAAATCGGTATTTTAATCCCTCCACGACTGCGGACACGCCGGCGTTACAGTTAACAATAGATTACTTAGAAATTTATTTAATTTCTTAGAAATTTACCTGGAGGTGTTAACGCTTCAATCGATTTTCCAACCGAGCTCGTTACCACTAGGCAATACACGAAAGGTTTCTTTAGTTGTGTCAATTTTCGCAAGTATAGAAATTATCTAGGTTTATGTTACTATTAAGGTACGATACTAGAAGCAGCTTAATTATTATGACATATAACAGGCTACACGACCCATAAAGAGTTGGCGTTAAATGCGAATACATATATATATATATACATGAAATTATGTATTACAACCTTTACCGTCGCATAATCGTAGGTTCTAGTCGTGGCGAGTGATTGCCATCCGATCGCTCCATCACGACATCAGTTCGGTTCGATTGCAAAATGCTATCTGAATGTAGAGGGCGTTAGATAACATAATCGATCAGGCATTTGTTATTAAATATTTCTTCTGAAGTATTTAAATTCTTCTACAGAAGAATACACAGTTCGTTAAAGCAGGTACTAACACAACACTAACAATGGTACAGTAAAGCTAGAACTTTAGTATAGGTATAAAGCAAGTATGATTCTTCCAGAGGAGTTAATTTCCTCTGGACTGAACAGAAGAATATAAATATTACTTTTAATTTTTGAAATTTCAATAATAAATATATAATAGGTCTCTTTATTCTACGTAAATAATAACAAAACATATATTATTTTGCTTTCATTTTAAAATGAGATTCTCGATGTGTAAATATATAGTTTGTGCAATGTGCATCTTAGTTCCTGATAAGGTCAGATGCCGTTCATCGTCTGCATAATTTTATTCCAATGACATTAATTAACATTCATTTGCAATTATATAACTTATAAAATATCATAAATAATTATACAAAATAGGTCAAACTTCAATCATAGTCTAGTGTCTAGACTGTCTCAAACATCCTGAATTAAATTGCAAGCTTTAATTTTGAAGCTTATATTTAGTTCTAAATTGGCATTTTCAAAACTACCTGCGGTCACTGGTTGAAATTCAATGTTATATCCAGCCTTTCGATGAACAATAAAACTGTTAATATCACAGAATTTAGGACAAGATTGAGAAACAATTATTATGTAAATTATATATGACGACATGTTTGGCTCAGTTTGTAGTGACCCTACTCGCGGTGCCAGCGGTCGCGGGTTCGAGTCCCGCTGGGGGCATTCATTTGTGTGATGAGCACAAATGCTCGTACTCCAGTCATGGGTGTTTATATTTATAATATGTATGTATTTAAAGTTCTATATATGTGTAGTGTATCAACTATCTGGTATCCATAACATAAGCCTCGTAGCTTACCATGGAACTAGATGGCGCTGTGTCTTAATGTCCCTACATATTTACATATCTTTATATATATAATTCTTCTGCGAGTGTGTATGTCATTGAACTTCTCTCAAACGACTGGTCCGATTTTGATGAAATTTTTTGTGTGTGTTCAAGGGGATCTGGGAATGGTTTAGATTCACAATTTGAATAATAATTTTCATCAAAATGGTCCAGAATGTTTTAGCTTATTAAAAAAAGTTTGAAATTTTCAAATTAAAGACGTGTAGACGTGTGGACAACGTCTGTTGGGTCCGCTAGTTTATTTATATATAGTTCTGTTGGTATTTTTTCTTTCCTGGTCAAAATTCGTATTTCCTTTTCTTATTTCTATTGTTTGTTTATTTGGTGCTAAGATTTTAGACATATAACTTGTTTCTATTAGTTTATATTTGCTTTTAACCTAATATTAATAATTACTTAATAAGGGAAGCTGTAAAGTAAATTTTAGTATTAAAACTATTTGTATTTTATGACATTTTGAGCATAATATTTGCATTTTAATATTTGTAATTTTTTGTCAACAGTTCAAAGACCAATGGATATAAAGAACAGACCACGCATCCCTATTCCGGATGAGGATCCTTACAGCATTGCAAGTTCAAACGCTAATGGGTCAGGATCTAGCGGAAGTTCCGGTGGGTATGGGCACAACGGTCACAACGGGCATAACGGGCACAATGGCCACAATGGACATAATGGGCACAATAATGGTCACGGCGTCGTAGCCGCGACCAGGGAACAACTTATGATGCAAATGGGACAAAGGAGAGGTGAAAAGCCTCCCAATCTACCTCCTAGGGAAAATGGTTACGGACCAGCCGATATTCCTAAGGTAAGATTTGTTTTTCTTAAAAAAATAGTTGTAAATATGTAGGGACTTTCCCTACTTTCTAGATAAGTGAGGTTTTATGCAAATTTGTTCAGTACGTAATTATTTGTATGTGTGAAATTATAGAAAAAAAACCGCTACTGATGAACGACAATACATATTTTTGTTATATGAAACTAATGGCCGCTATGGCACGTATATATGTATATAAATAAATTACTTATGACTTTCAAGATTTTCAAAGCGAAATATACCAAAAAATGCAATCAAATACCGTACAACCTCTTTTCGCTGACTGATACGTTTATTTGTACATATTTTTATAATTTATGATGATACGTTAATGTATCTTAGATTACAGCTACAAAATCATAAATCACCTAAACTTTAGCATTTCATAATTAGATAAAGGGCTCGTAATTATCTTAAAAGCTTCTCGAAAGGAAAAAAAAAGCATTATAATGACTAATGATGTTAAAAAATGACAAATGATTACACCTCTACAAATGGATTACGCTACAAGCGTATTACAGAAATGAAGAAAAAACGATGATATTTATATAGAAAAAGCGTAACCAAATATATCTTATATAGTAACATTTGTATACTATAGCATTTTGTTTACAATCACGATTTATCAAGAACGCTGGCAGCCCTTCGGCTGGGTTTAATTTAATAGAAACCATTCACACCAAACATTATTAAAGTATGACCGACAAACACACATAATGCCCAATTTGTTATACATTAGATGCGGTTACAAATTGACCGTGTAATCTTATTGCAGTTATAGTGAAAATTGCATTATCTTTATTACAATTCATATCACAAAGGTTTTTATATCAATTTGCCAGCTTTTTTCATTGCCTTTTAAATTCTTGCGATGATTATATCGCCACTCTAGCGCAATATTTCTAATAATAACGTAATTTGACTTGAATACTTTGTATGAAGGTAATGTTTAAGATTACAGTTTATCGCAATTATTTTTTTACTATATTTCTATGTGCAAAGCAGCGTTCACCTTATATTATTTCGTGTTAAGCAAAAACCTTTTTTTAACATGTCTTGAAATTGAAAAACTTTAACGCCGTATATTAGATTTGACGAGTTTTATGGCTAAGGGTGCTATATTTAGTACCAAATTATGACTTTGATACCAGCTTTCAATATATTCACGATTTCCCGTCGTGAGAAATAAAGTAAATCCAATTATCCGCTAACAAACTTCATATCAAATTTATTACGCAGATTGGCACTTAAAATAAGTTATCAACTACTTGTCATATGCAAAAAGCTTCTAAATCCTTAATCTTTAATGCAAAAGAGGATACAAATCACTTAAACTGGACGCGCGTCATGAATCACAACAGCTTTTAATGGAAATCAAACCTTGACCCTGAGATTGGAAATTATAAATGAAGATGATTTTTAAAATAAAAGGGACTTTAATGTATTATAGAATGATAAAGGTCCAATTTATACAAAATGATATCGAGCATGAACAATGTGATATGACACAATTAAAGATTTCTTCAATTAATTTTTTCATGGTCTTTCGAAAAGATAGTTTCGAACGATAGTTTGCTATAAAACTAAAATTAATTTTAAAAAATACGTGCTATTTATTGAAACTAATAGAGGAAAAATATTTAAATATATTGTTAAAATGGTTTCTTAAAATATATGATTAATATAAAAATAAAGAAAATATGTTAGATAATAAATACATTAATGATAAATCATTTCATAAATAGAAAATCAATAACAAACTCATTAAGTCCCAATAACGTTATGAGCGAGTCGAAGTGAAAGTTTGATCATTTAACGCTTGTTAGTTCATCTCTAATCCGACATTAGATATCTTTGTATAGATCATACAAAAATAAAAAAAATGTGTATCCAATCACACTAGCAGTTGCCGCTACTTTCTTTGTCTTAAAATTTGTAACTTAAACTAAAATGTAAATATTATAAGATAAATGGCCATAAAATAATATTGGACTTGAATGAATATATGAAAAGATTAAAATTATACACTTAGCTGAGTCAAGTGAACAAAGGTAGAACCTATATCGATAATATCAGAGATATGATCGCCGGTGAAGATGAATGTTAGTAGGCGTGAAGTCCTGCCTTTTTATTGCTTTATCCAAATAGCAACGCTATGACATGACAAAGATCAAGAATGTCCTTTTGCACTTACTTTTATTATTGATTCAATGCCTTCGCACATTCATGTCACACTATAAATAACAATGGATAGAGATTTAATAGATGGCGATAGCGATTAAACGATTTCTCTGTAGTTATACAATTTACATCAACACTTGAGTAGAAATGCTCACAGGAAAAATATCATCAAACTGTTAAAAATTGAATTGTCAAGTTTCATTATTTACAAGTAGATAAATTAAAACAAATTGAGCGTAATACTGTTGTTACATTCATTACAGTAACTGAAAAACGTCTGACAGCTATAGAAGCAATGCATTCACTTTACGTGACGGCGTTACCATTATCGTTATATAAAGCGACACAACTAACTTGCTTTTAGTGATGTATATTAGAATCAGGGTGGCGAGAATTTCTTTAAATCGATAAGTCTCTTCTACAATATGAGCATCGTATCTACATTAGTTCTCCATTGATCTCGTTTTACCTTGTAAGAAGATAACGATAGTCAAGTACCCACGCATTTATTTATTTACAGCAAATTTTTTTCACGTTTTGTTACAAACAATCTGGTTTTTAATATAATTCTGTGTGTTCCGATAACGTAGGTAATCGAATTGTTTATGTACTTTAAAACATTTTAATCGGATGCCTTGTTTAAAGCCTTGTTTATTAAGTGACTTAGGAGCGGTTCGAGATCTAGAGTTATGTTTTGAGGAACAGGTTATTACCAAAGAGGATAAAAGGAAAATAGATTTGTAGCATTTAACCTTTAACGTAAATATTTTACTGAACGCTATTTATAAAGCTTTGTTTGTTTATTTTAAGCAAAATCTATTGAAACTTAAATGTTTTAAAAATTTACGAAATATTTATTTTACAGCCGGATTACGATGATATTGAAGTTAATGAACGCGTCCCAACGCAGTTCCCGAGAGGAAAATCAGATAAAGGAAAAGATAACAAGAAGTATGGTATGTCATCATAATTTTTTTGTAAATCTAAGTACTTAAAATTTAAATTTTATAAACTCTTAATTTCTTTAAATATTTTATTTTCTTACATTTAAATATTAAGCCCACAACAAGCTATTTCAAGACAAAACTAATACTATTATTTAGTCATTCATTAAAATACCTAAGATTCTCATTAAATTAGGGATACACAACACTAAACTTGCACAGCTATTGTAACTTTAATTAACTTAAATGCAGATTCGAAAAAATAGCGCAACAATCGTTGCATTAATTATTTCAAGGTAATAAATTGTCTTCAAGAGATGTACGGTGAACAATTCGATATATTTCAGTTAGAACCTAACCTTTAAGTATATGATGTTAAGAACTTAATTCAGAGTTATCTTTTGATCGCCTACACCGTACTTCGTCCCACTAGTATGCTATTACAGCGCTTTGAAATGTATATTGACTACTGAAGGCGCCTACATGAATGCCTAGCATCCTATGTTTGGTAATACCAATATGTAAAGCTTGTCGGTGCCTATCAAAAAACTAAATATCAACTTCCATCTCTTAGAATGTATATTTAAGTAAAAACACATACTTTAATATTTAAAAAATAAGCAAAATGGAAGCAATCATGTATATCTAAATTGTACCTTTGGATATAATTTGTGTTTGAAGACTAGCAGTTTCAGACTGCTTAAACAATAGTTGTGTAGTTACGACACAGTATGATTCAAGACAACACGCCTAATCTTAAACATTAAGGTTTATGTTCTGATCATGTAAATTACAATTTCATGTTGCAAGTGTACATATTGCGATATTAATATTGAAGAAGATCATCACTTATAAATGATCATTGTCATGAACAGAGGTTTCAACACCATATACAAATGGTGATATGAATAATGTACAGTGACAAAAATGGAGTGCTGGCTATATATCAATTTTAATCAGCAATTTACATTTTAACTTTTGAAATTATTGAGCTTTTCTAAAAAAATAACTTTTTCGTGTGTATGCTTTATACGTTACTAGCGACTCACCCTCGCTTCGCTGGGGTTCGTGCCGAGGTTGATTACCCATACAAACTTTCATCCCCATTTTCACCCCTTGAAGGGATGATTTCCGGGATAAAAAGTATCCTATGTTCTTCTCAGGGTCTCAAACTATCTTCTTACCAAATTTCATCTAAATCAATTCAGTAGATCCAAAGATTATCCCCTACAACGTCACAAGATCACAAACTCACAAACTTTACCTCTTTATAATATTACTATAGATGACCTACAGAGCAAGAGAGTCTAATAATAGTAACTAATCCTAATTTGAATATTAAGTCAAATCGTGCACGTTTGTGTAAGAATATTAAGTATGTGGACATTTGATAATCAAGTCATGTAATATGAAAAGCTATAGCACTTGTCTAAGCCCGTGATCTCATCATGGGATTACCGCCCACTTGACAGACCGTGTGAATAATTGTTTATTTTTTATTATTAACTATATAATATTTTAATAGTTCGTTTAAGTATTATAAAAATAACGTGGTTTAAGACATTTCTGTTTATTTTTATTTTTTTTGTATCAATATTATAAGAATAGTATATTCTCGAAAATGTACATTTACAAAATTCTCATTGAAATCGGTTTAGAAATTTTTTGTGTCGCAAAATTAAACAAAAATATGCAATTAAAATCCATAAAATTGAAAAATTTTCAACAAATGTTTATGGCAAAAATCTGATATAAGTTTTGAAAGGCGAACTTACATGAAGTACAAACATACTGTAACCTTTTATGTATTTGGTATACATCAATTTATTTCATGCATGGTTTTGTATGACATACCTACAAACATAAGTTCACGCTTGCCCCAAATGTCACAGATGGAGAGCAGAGGTTACCAGACAATACCGTTTCACAACCTCTAGCTGACATTTGGGCAAATCCTTGATATTTAAATAGACGGTCGATGCAGGCGTAGGATGCGGAACATGAATGCACGCATTTATTGTTTAAATTATCGCTGAAGTTAAAATAAAAGTTGAACAAAAGAAGGTATTTTTACTCAAAGCTATTACATTTGGATAAAAAGCTTTCCTCAATCATTTCCAACAGGATTAGCAATTGTCTTACGGTGAAGGAAAATATCGTGAGGAAACCTGCATCTCTGAGAGAACGTAGCAAGTTTTCGAAAGACATGTGAAGTCCACCAACTCGCACTTGGCGACAACACTGTGGGTGGACCATAAGGCTTACTCCCCGTATTGAAGGGAGGCCCGTGCCCAGCAGTGGGACGTTAAAATGGGCTGAAAACATAGTAGTCAGATATATAAAAGAGTATAACTTAAAGTGATTGCTTTCATTTTGTTTAACTTTACCATTTAATTTGTTGATAAAGTCGTGGGAAGGTATCAACTCAAACGTTAAATGTTAGGTAGATACTTATATTACTACATCGGTTTCCTAATTTCACGAAAGATTCGAACTTTTTATAATGAGCACCTAGTTTGCATCTTTGCAATGTTAACAACTGGGTACTAACAAGATGCAATTTATCCATTCTTGTGGTTTCTGCATGAGAATTAAGATAATAAGCAAGTATCTAAATTAAAAGCGCATGATAATAATATGATCATTGCAATATCACATTAGTAAATATAATATAATGCTATATTGTTTTCTGTTGAATAACTAAAGAATGATAATACATATATAAATGATAAATGCATTAGTATAGTTTGTGTTTAATCAAAAACCCTGAATATAAATGTCTATTACACTATAATAATGAATAAATTTTATATTATTAAATTGAGATTATTTACATCGCTGATAATTTATAATAGTGTACTAGATAATATGATATATATATATATATATATAAATATATATAGATATATATATATATATATATATATATTTATATCATATTTATTTTATTTATTATAAATATAGAAAAAGACAAAAGTGAATATTTTTATTTATTCATTTATTTATCAAATACATAAAAATGAATAATCATAAAAACTAACACACTCCTGTCTCATTTAGTATACGAGTACTTGTATTAGGAGCGAATTGCATTATATGTTGATACAAGTTATAAGAAAAAATACAAATAACAATGGCTATCTACATTATTACATTTAATTGTGAATGCATAATGTATATTTATTATTTTTTTATATATAGCTAGACTATAGCGTAACCTAACATTTTCTCAGTTACTTCAGGTAATAATATAATCTATCTACGTACCTACAAAACTTCATCCAAATCCGTCCAGCCATTCCAGCGTGAAAGTATAACATACATACACACACATTTACATGCAAATTTTCGCATTATACATATATGCGATTAATGTAATATAAAAATATTTGATTCACAGACGACCCCTACTACTGCGGGCTACGCGCGCGCGTGCCCAACTTCGTGAAGGCGACTGGCAAGCACGTGCTGCCGGCGATGACAGAGCGCCTCACCCTGAAGGAAACACCAGTCCCTAGCAAGCGTTACAGCGTGGTCCAACCGGGCCCTTTCCACCCTCCATTCGTCCCCATCCAAGCTCCCATATGGCACGCACGTTCATATGAAAGCGGAATCGGTGCGTACCGTCCAAGAAAAGAGAAGCTCATGTATCAATTCTATCCCAACAGGGAGCCAAGACCACTCGTGATCCAGCAGCCCCGCTAACTAATACTACGCCACAATCTTGGTATTTACCCCCTTTTTTATACACTTCGCTTGGCACGCCTCATGCTTAGTTGTTTCACACGAGTGTGTCCTTCCACTACCTATTTCACGTACTGATTTTCTGTTCTACAATTTTTCCATTTTATTGTAGTATAATTTTAATTCTTCAGCTTGGTAGCACGCATCACGCAAGTTGTTCTGTATGTCCTATGATATCTATACTATTTTCCCTATATATATATTTATTTCAATATTTTCAATACGAACTCCTAATACGAAATCCTCTTTGAGTTCCTTTATTTGGTTGCACGCCTCACGCTTGGTAAATTCAAAACTGATCTTGACAATGGATTCCGTTTTGATTTTCTAAGCTTATTACTTATTTTCACAATATACACTACTTCTTTGTTAACTATCAATTAACATATTCTGGACTTTATATTAAATTAATTATAATTATTGCAACTTTTATGTTTTCTAATAACTCAACCTTGATCTAATGCTTGAAAAACAATCTTATATACATTGCTTAGATTTTACAATATTCCTCTATTTCATTTACTTTCATTCTAATTTTTATTTTCCTGTTCTATTCTTTTTAATTTGTATGCTCTTTATTAACTAAGCTTCTTGCAGTAAGTCTTAATCTGATCATGTCTGACTAATTTTTTATCCTGAATCTATCTTCATATATTATTACCCCATTATTTTAATCCCATCCTATTTATATCCTTATTTCTCTGCTGGATTATTTCTGTTATTTGAATTATATAAGTTCTAAATAACTTATTTCTCTATAGACTTTTTCTCCATACCATTAAGATTTGCGTTAGTTCACAGCGGGAACTGACTGCCGCTGGAATTGATCATGGCTTCGCTTCATTCATTTTTAATAAACTTCTAGATATGAGTAAATACCAAAGAGAATAACTAATTGACAAAAATAATTAGAATATTATAATTATTTAAGCAAATAACTTTCAGTTTTTTTTTTCCGAAACAATTTAGGTTGCAGACAGAAATATTAACTTACTGAAAGGAAACGCCAACAAAAATATATTAAGGTCCGATCCACACTATTATACCGCTAACGGTTCGTTCTAGGTCCGATATTAGGTTGGTAATCTAAGAGTCAAGTTCCCGTCGAATCACACTCCAGCAGCAACGTTTCTTATATAAAAATACTTCACCAGAACAATATCGAACCGAAAACGGACTGTGATCGGCACGAAAGGCGGATCTGTGGCCTAAGAATACTCCAATTTTAAAAATTCAAAACTATGTTATGCATTTGAAATTATATTAGCCTATTAATATTCCGTTTGACATAATATATTATTAAATTGCGACATAAAATATAGTGTAGAATTTACAAGAATGAAGAAATACTTAGTACTCAATAAACTTGGCTCATAATTTGAAAACGCAAAGCAACAAGTTGGAGTGATACAACGGACATGAGTTCGTGATCATGTATATGTACTCGTATGCCCTAAATCAGGACGTTGTTTTGCAATCCTTCGACCGACATGAGAATAAAATAGAACATTTCCAATGCTTAGTTACTTATTGTTTATTTATATAATTGTTAGTATACTTAGAGATTTTTTTATTTTTGTTCTTATGTATAAAATTCCTATAGGAAAAGTAAAGTCGGATGCTGTCATGGAGAATGTTGTGGATTCAATTTTGCTTGCAATTATTGACAATCAAGTATTGTGGTCGAATATAAAAGGAAAGTGGAATATATAAATGCTTCATTGCGTTTGAATTAAATGATGATCAAAATTTATATGAATGGGACTTATAAGTATAATGACAGAAATAACTTACTTTAAATAACTAAGACTATAAAAAATTTAATAACTATATTATATTATAAAATATTAAAATCCAAATTAAAGTTAATTTTGTCATCTAAACTATACATTAATATAATACTTATTTTATAAGAAACATATAATTTATACTTATTTTATAAGAATTTCGAGTCAACCATGGCTTCGCTGTTAGCATGGGGTATATTCATCGATAATACTATAAGAACCGATCAATTCATGATGGCATGGTTCACTTTTGTTTGCATGATAATAATAAAACTTAAATAAATGTAGCATTTTTTTCTTCTAAATCAATAATTAATTTTTATCTAAATACGCGTTCAATCTTCACTCAATAACTAAGGCTAGTTACAAACAAGAATTACGTATAGACATGATTATTGATCAATATAATATGACTCCATAAAATAAGATTCTGAAATCTATAATATTATCTAATTAAATTAATAATTATTAATAAAAATTAAATATTTTATTAATATAAATCCATAATGTTATAATATTATGTATTTGATAAGTCATACGATCGTCACGTATACATAATATTGACAAACACCACTTTTGATTGAGCGCGGTTGTTTAAGAGTTTAAATCAATTAACCCTTCAATCGAACGTTATAATCATCAACCTGCAATTACAGACGGTGATCAATACGACCCATACGCAGTGTACGGCCGCCTCCCCGTCCCCGGCCGCTTCCCGCCTCCGCCCGCGCCCAACGCCCGCCACATGTTCATCGGCGAATGGGACTGAGATGGCGGTAATTTACTTGGTAATGTCACTTTAATTAGGCTGATTTTGAATTTAGAACTTCGATTTGTTTTATTCTTTTTTTTTTATATTGCAATGGTATATTGTCGTCGTGTTTAAGGATAAGTTTATTATATTTAGATTTGTTGGATGTTTTGGTTTTTTCGATTAAAAAGAAGTGTACAACGATATCGAAGTTTCAGTAAATAATTGTTTAATTATTATTATTGAAGTGATAGTATCAAATATTGTAAATACGTTTTGTATATTATGTTAATTTACTTTTATGTTTGAAAAATTCGACTCGAATGATGATTTTTTTTGTAAAATAAACGATTAATTCAATGTGTACTCGAGTAATTTAGTTCCATAACCATTATGTGAGTCTAAATAAGTGCTTTACGTTCAATAATCACTGCCACTATATTTAAAGACGTATTGAAACGTTTTGATTTTGTAACTTTCACTTGACGCCATTTTCTTTTGTACTGACTACGTTATTCGGTGGTGATAGTTACAAAATTACTTTAATTACTTACTTGAAATTTAAGTATTTTTAAGTTAATGTGACAATCCTAGTCAGTACAGGGTTGGATAAAAAATAATTGCAGAAGATCAGATTTGATAAATTCTTGAAAAAAATATATTGAAGAACTGCTATTTTCTTATTCCTTTTTATAATGAAATTATTAATAAATAATTGTATATTTTAGTTATTTTTTAATATTTCTATGTTAAAGTCTAGTTTTACAATTATCTTTGTAAATAAATAACTTTCCGTTCCCTATACATATACTATAGAGCTAGATGTTTAATTATGTAGTGTTATATAAATTAACTTTACATTGTATGCTATTCCCGATACGAATATTTTATGAATACTCAATTACATGTAAAACTTAGAAATAATTTTGTACAATAACATTGACAATTTTGTATTTTTGTAGTATTGTCAATATCTAAATATACATTAGTGTTTAGTTAGACCTGACTCTAAAAATAATGTAAACAAAATTATAAATATTTTTATATGATATTTTCAAAATTTTCTAATTTCGGTGCTAGACAGGTTACCATTCTCTTTTATGTATCTTAGACTTATTTTAACTTAGGGCTGCTTTGAGTATGAGTTATTAGCAGCTATATATAACCTTATTGCATTATTTTATTGCATACCTAAATCACTTGTAAATTTATTTTGTCAAAAAAGTATGTTATTCGGCGGTCATATTAATATATTATTATAATTTAATTAAATCGTCAACATATGCGAAATTATAAAAGAATTATATATTATAATGTGAATAAATTATTATTTATGTGTTGACTCTGTGTTGGCGACGGTACTTTAAGATCATCAACATCCATATGTAAGTAGGGTGTTGGTTAAACAGTAACCTAATTTAAGGAAATTTGTATGAATCAAATATACAATTATTATTTCAATAAACAATCTATTTTATTTATAAATCTTTATTTTTAAGTAATATTCTACTCTGCCTTACAACTTGGAAAGTGGATGCACACTAGCGACTCAAATAAAAGGCACTTTTGCATTTATAATATTATAGGAAGCCATATAGCAAACCTTACCTATCACGACACGTTAGGCTCAGTTTGTAGTGACCCTACTTTCTGTGCCAGCGGTCGCGGGTTCGATTCCCGCTGGGGGCATTCATTTGTGTGGTGAGCATGAATGTTTGTTATTTAAAGTTATATATGTGTAGTGTATCAACTATCTGGTATCCATAACACAAGCCTCGTAGTTTACCATGAAACTGGTGTTGTGTGTTAATGTCCCAAGATATTTATTTATTTACCTACTATTAACAGAGGCCTATTACAGTCTATCAATGTACTAAATTCAATTTAAAAATTAAATCCGTTCAGCCTTTAAAGCGACAAGGAGTAACAAACATTCACACATACATATATTTTCAAATTTATAATATTATAAAAATAGTGTTGTTTAAAATAAAATAAATTGTATAATGTGAACTATAATTTTCATTTGTATTATAAAATCTTGAGAAAAAATAATAAAATTTACAATGTAATTCATACATATACATACATGGTACAATAATTCAATTAGTTACATTTGATCAGCGGTTCTTGCGTGATTGAGAAACAAAGAACAAACATCTTCATGAACTTACAATGATACAAGTAGGATATATCCTTACAAAGTTATGGTTTTGCTATACATATACATATGAACATAACGATTATCACCGCATGTATATCGCAACACTAACGTTACCATAGCAACTTATAAACAACAAAGCTATTGCGCGTGAACGACCAGTGCATAAAATTAATTCCTTTATTGGAGGTGAAAAAATTAATTAGTTTGAAGTGGATATGGATTTTTCTGAGGGCTCAGAACGCGGGAGTACAGGACGGAGGGCGGATGTAGCGCGGCCGGTTTCCAGACGTGGTTTCCGGGAGTATACCAATAGTGGGTCTGCTGTGATGAGGTTTGTACGAGTAATAAATTATTCATAAAGCTTTACTTTTACTGTAAGCGGCTGCTTTTATATGGATAAGTAATAATCCATATTAAAATACTATAAAACTTAACACAATCTTCATAGATCTTCTAACGGTTATTAAGCTCAAAAAACCAACAAATTTGTGTTTGAGTGCGCTTTTCACTATAAATTGACTATAAATCCAATTCAAAAAAAACCATATAGTCGTAGTATCTTAGTCTATTTATTGTTAATTGGAGGAAGGTTCTACGTTATCTAACATGATCCCTAGCAATGGAACAGCTATACATAAATAAATTATATGAACAGATCTGCAGATAAAAGCTAGTAAATCTATACATATAATAAAATTGTAACTAAGCCAAATCTGTACATTAAATATTTTTTGGAAAATCTTATTGATATAAACATTATTATCGATACAGAGGCCGAATCTATAGTTTTTAGAATTTTTGTCTGTCTGTCTGTTACCGCATCACAGAAAAACCACTGGAGGGATTTTGATGAAATTTGGTATGATGATAGCTGGTTATCCGGGTCAACATATAGGATACTTTTTACCGCGGGAAAATGTCTCATTTCTGAGAAAAAAAAACAAAAACTGCAATGTAGATATACTTACTAATATGTAAAACCTAAGAATTTGGTTTTTGGTCATCTGAAAGCGGGCGGAGCCGCGGGCAATGCTAGTACTAATTAAAAAAATATAATTATATAAAGACGTTATTATGTATTCAAAGTTTACAAGCTTTGTTATTGTGGTGGTACACAGATGGCTCTATACAAAGCTTATAAATAAAGTTCAGATTTTTTAATTTGTAAAAGATGTCAGGAAGCTTTTACGTTGTATTGCATTTTGATTAAACCCCACAAAATATAACAAAACTTTCGCAAAACAAAAACAAAAATTTGTCATAGACGACAACAACGGACAAACTACGTACCTTCTAAATTTGTATATTAGTGTAGGTGCCCTATATACGAGTATATGTATGTACCCTAATATTATCTGATTACTATTTTATAATTGTGAAATTTTTGTGTGTATGTTTATGACTCCACGCTGTAACGCCTAAACAGATTTATCTGTTTAGTACACTAATATACTATGACTTGGAGTAACACATAAGCTACGTGGCACCTGGGGATGCCCTCCAGCAAAGTGATACTAAGTGACTTGTAATGTTATAAAGGAAAATCTTTACTCTGAGCATACATTTTTTTTTATTAATGAAAGCATTTCGCAGAAGTGGAACTATGAGGCCCACATCGGCATACAGAGGAAGCACTGCTTCTCGCTTGTCTACAGCAGGCTTCGGGCCTGCTCCACCCACTGCTAGTAGGCAACCTACTGCTATGACTGGCTTTTCTATGGTTAGTATTAAACGACACGTTTAGATTATTTTAATCCAATTCATAAAACAACTCAATATATTCCAATTAATAGATTCTATCATGTATTTAATATTAGAAATAATATGAGACACTATTTAATATCAGATTCATATAAAATTTAACATATACCTAAATAATTTTTAGTACCTATATTAATATATGTTAAGTTTTAGTATATTAATATATGTTATTCTTAATATATTTTAAGTATATTAAGTATATTTGTAATTTTCTTTAGTATATATCTGTATGTTTATATTTTTAACTCTCTCTAATACTTAGATTGATAGACCAATAACTCAACAAGGTTTATCTGGTCTTCGAACAAGCACCGGTAGAGGGTTTCGCACACGTCAACTACAGGATAAACGTTATTGGGAGGAACTTATGCAAGTAAAAGTGAGAGAAATGAAAGCCGAAATAGCGAGACTAACAGAGCAAGCTGATGCAGGAGAGAGACAAAAGTCGGCAAAGAAACATTACGAAACTAGAGTGAGAGAGTTGGCACAAGAGTTGACAGGTAAAAAAATAAAAAAAATATTTTTTACTAGTTTTTGTCTACGGCTCTGCTTGCATAGTTAGTAGGTCGGGGATAGAAGTTATGCTATGTCCGTTGCACAATGTAAATGATAGGTCGTTGCTAAAATAACGTCGAATTCGGTTTAGTGGTTTAGACATGAAAAGATAAAAAGTCATACTTTCGTATTTATTAAGTTGTAAATACCTAGTCCATAATAATAATACCTCCTGACCGATTTCGATTGCGGCCAATATCACTAGGACTAGCCAGATGCGCAGGAGACATTATAATGCATAAGTGTACTCACAGACATGTGCACTCTCTATTCCTTTTACTCTTCGAAGTCTGATGGGACGATACTTCGACAGGACCGGTGAGAATTAAGGTAGAAGTCCATAGATAGATAAGTACTATACTTTTTACGATTTGACTACACGTTTGCTGTTCCAGCGGTCGCGGGTTCGAGTCCCGCTGGGGTCATTCATTTGTGTGATGAGCACGAATGTTTGTACTCCATTCATGGTTGTTTATATTTATAATATGTATATATTAAAGTTATGTATGTATATGTAATGTATCAACTATCTGGTATCCATACCAGAAACCTCGTAGCTTACCATGGAAATACATGCTGCTGTGTGTTAATGTCCCAACATATTTATATTTATTTATTACCTACATATGGACTAGCAGCCTACTTCCCCTTTGTCTATGTGATTTCTACTAATGTTATTACACTACTTGATACGATTTTCCAAATAAAAACTTTCTTTAATTTTTTTAATCTTCATTTTATAGAAACATATACATACATATATGATTATTGTAGTATTATCTTCTAAATAATATCTATTGTTACCTAATTAATATTTAATTTACTATAGATCTTCAAGGGAGGTTGGCTGATTACAACACAGCTATACGTATAGCCAATGGTGAGGCTTCAAGACAATCTGTTGAAGAGCAGACCCGAGAACTTGAAATAAATAACAAAAAATTACAAGAAGAAGTTGAACAAGTATTCATTGAAAAACAACGAAAGGAAAATCAATTGCGACAGTTGAGAGAGCAATTGGATAAAGTAAGCTATATATATGTATACATACATGTTTTAAATAAAACTGTCTTTTCGGATTTTGTCGCGGATTTATTTGCACTTTTGATGAACGTTTCGAATGCTTTACAGCAATCATGGTCACGGGAGAGACTGAGGTGTTAGATGTCTCTAAGGTATTATATAGTTGTTACAGACAGCCTACCCACAATTAACAAAATGCAAATAAATCCGCGACAAAATCCGAAAAGATAGTTTTATTTAAAATGTCAAATATTCGCGTAAATCTAAGAAAGTATTATACATACATGTGTTGGAAGCTAATTAATAGTAGTAATCGTTAAATATTAACGATGTGTGTTAATTCAAAATTTAATTTTACTATGAACCCATTGTCAAAAAAATTATGTATTATAGGAACAATCAAATATTTCAAAGCTTCTATCAGAAATGTCGCCAGAAGAAAAACAACAGTATAATCAACTGGAAGCGACTGCTGCGGCTTTACGTGTGGAAGTAGAGCAAACAAGGCAACAAATAGACCATTTGAATAGGGAGAAAGAAGAATTTGCTAAGGAAATATCTGGCTCACAGGTAAATAATGTAAATATATATAATAATAAATCTCCTAAGATTTAAATACAAAGCTATATTTTTTTTAAAAACTTTGTTTTTAAAATAGAGGAATAAAACTTTAAGTCCTACTGAAAAAGTAACGTATGAAAAATTCCTATTTGGTAATTTAAAAAAGGCATTCATATTTGGTCGTGAGCCTAATAAAATGGTATATGACTCAATAAAGAATAAATTACTGTGAAGATTTTTTATTGTTATTGTTTTTTTTTCAATATTTCAGATTAAAATGCATCTATTAGAACTGCATCGCAGATTAGTTTCGGCTGAAGAAAAACGTGATAATTTAAAAGATGAAATAAACAATCGTTTGGATCCGCAGGAAGAAAGAGAGAAATTGTTATTACAAGTAGGCTAATACTTAATAAATAATAAAAATATTCTTTTACCTAAAACTAAGTTATAACTTATTATCTTTCTACATATTATGGTCAATTAAATTCGCTTACGTAGTCTTCTATGGACTCAATATTCTTATATATCGGCTATCTTTAGCCGATAGAAAAGTTATAAGTACCTTGCAAAAAAAATTTTCCAAGTGGTGGTTACAAACATTAGCGCATTCACACACAAAACACAAAAAATAATATCGTAAGCTTTATAATATTTGATGTATTTTTTTTCTTAAGAGTTCACAGCTCTAAATCTGATTGTCCCTTCAAGATGAGATACGAATGTATTAGGTATTATAAAATGAAAAAAAAATTGAAAAAGATTAGATGGTCTTCTATGAGTTTTTTTCAAATTATTTTCTACCTAGGTCCGAGAAGACAACGCAGCTATAGCATCGCTGGACAGCAACGCGTCTAACCTAAAAGAGCAAATTCGCAAAATCCAAGAATATATAGAGCAAGCTGAACAGGTATTATCTTAAATATTTTAATATAATTTTATTAGAAAGTTTTTGAACATATTATACAGTACATGTTTTTGAAGAAAACAACCAATTTTTCAACACGCTTTTATTAATTTCATTTGTAATTTTGAAGCTGATTGAATTTTGAATTGCTTCTGTTGATCATCATGTCACAATAATTTGATACCATTAAGCAAATCTTATGATGGGAGCGATTTCTTAATAGTTGAATTAATTACTGATATTACTAAAATATTTGACTTTGGATATATTTGATATGCATCAATTTTTTGTTATGAATTAACATAGAATTCTAATTATAATTTATCCATCTATTGAAATATTGAAGTCGACCTGTACAAGTAGATAAATAACTTATTTACGCACATGAATATGAGTCAATTGTCATAATAACGTTTACCGACAAGATATTAGATATATATCAACGCAGTTAGAAAGTCTCGAGTAATGGGATGTTAGATCGCTACTGTGTATAGTTCCACTTAGCAGTTTTTACTTAATGTATGAACCGTCTACTATTATAAGCATGAGAGATTTTACAATGTATATAAAAGTGAACATTAACTTTTTTGACAGTCGATTCTGTGTGTTATATTTATGTTTTATAGGATCTCGAAGAAGGCAATTCAGAACGTCACCAAAAATATAGGGAACTGAAGAAAAGAGAAGAAACCATGGACGCATTTATGTCGACTTACGAAGAAAATCTCAAAAAAGAGCAAGACAAAATTGAACAATTGGAAAAAGATATAGTGTTCGCTTTAGAACATAGCAGTTCTAACATAGATATAGATCTAAGTGAGATAGATTCGTTGAAGCAAAAAGAAGGGTATTCATCATTGTACGACGACAGTAAGAAGACTGTTGAGAGCTTGACGAAGGACTATGAAAGGTTTCAGGGTAATTTAAAAAAGGTAAATGTATAGTTATTATTTTGAATGAAAATAATTTAGTTCTTTTACTGTCTTACTGCTGGACAAAGCGAATAGGGATCAGAAGACATAATATAACTTAACGTGGTCTCATTGCTTATTTGTCTGAACGACCATTTTACCGAAAGTGTTTTTACAGAAAGTACTACAGAATGATTTTATTTTGTAATTAACTTTTAAATGTCAATTCTATTGGTATTAAATACACATTTTTCTTTAATAAATCCGAAAAAAAGTATTTCAAACACAGATAAATCTTAGATATAAAGCTTTGTTTTTAAAGTGGAGGAAAAAAACTCTTCTGCCAAGTGTTGGTCATTTGAACAAATAAGCACACGACAGTGAAATTGAGAATATATTACTTTGAAAGACGATTAATAAAATAAAAATAAAATAGATCTACTAAATTATAGCATTTTTAATATTTTTTTATCAGGCTGAAGCAACGCGAGAGCGCCTTGCAACAGAACTACAGACATTACCGGAGAAAACTAAGGCCATGCAAAAAGAGCTTGTAATATTATCAGATTTGGAAAAACTACAGGAAGAAGGTTTGTACACCGTCCGCGTCACAATAATCACATTACAATTTATAAGTGTTTTCTTCCAGAAGTTTTAATGACAAGCTACCGCTGAGGCATTTATTAAAATATTATTAAAATCAACGCTTCCCAATTGGCGAAAAACGCGTATAACAGAAAAAATGCAACAGTAAATATCTCTTTTTTTGTAGTAGATCAAAAATGATATTAATTTATTTTCATTAAGATAGACACAAATTTGCGCAAAAGCAAACCTATTAGTTACCTAATGCATTATTATATAAGAAAATTTTTCGTTTTTTTGTTTCTGCGTTTGAGGTAGAAGATGTTTATTTTCTCAATTAATAAAGGAAAAATTTCACTTCCCTTTAGGAGATTCAAATAATACGATATTGTAAATAGTCTACAATTTAAGCAGTGGTCATTTTATACAAAATCCATTCCGAGTATATAGTGTTTCAAGCTTTTCTTGAAGATATTTCAAGTTCTTTGACTACTACTACTACAACTAGCTTTAAGACGATAGTATTGGCATAGTCTTGTAAATCTGTGTGTTTCTGTTTTGTTTTTGTGTTTAATTATATCAATTTGTATTATTATAAATAATTATATAATTATGTGCTATTTAAGGTGAAGAACAAAAGAAGGCCCTAGAGAGTGAATCAAAACTTGTAAAAGAGAAATTAACACCAACAGAGAGCGCTGTTGTAGAAGCTGCTAACAAACTTAAGAAACTACAGGTACTTGGTGACTTATGATTTCATGTAATAGTAGGGAAATTCTTGATTTCCACTCAAAAAAAGGGGTTTTAACAATTAACCTATCTAAATGCCTAGAGATTATAAATAATTTACTTAAATGTTCAAGTTAACTATCGATTCGGATTATTTCGCGGATTTATTTAGATTTTTGGTTCCGGAGAAATGGCATCAAGGTATCTTACAATATTATTGAATTTTTGAAATCAATTTTGTAACAAGTATAAAACGCCTTTGAGATATCTAAAACCTTTAGTCTCTCCCATGACCATGATTGCTGTAAAGCATTCGAAACGTCAGGAACGAAAAATCTAATTAATTCAGTGAAATAAATAACCAGAAAAGATAGTTTTATTTAAAATGTCAAATATTCACCTAAAACTAGAAGAGAGAAAATATTATAATTTTTAATTTTAGGAAAGTCTCGATGGAAACGAAATGTACGTAAAATTAAATAACTTGGAAGAAGAATTGGCACAGTTGGAAAATAGAAAGACGATTCTAGAAGAAGATATTGCTTCTATCACATTGAAAGCAGATTACGAACCAATTAAGCGAGAAGCTATGAGTGAAGTTGCTGTTTTAAATAAGAAAATTATGGAAGATCTTAATAATAATAAAACATACTAATGGATATTCAAATGTTGTTTAAATTTATTGTAGAGTGGACTTTGCCCGTGATTACTCCCACGTGATGAATCTAGCTATTTTCATTCCGAATTTTACTTAAATTCGTTGGGTCTTATCATGTCTTGTTTATGTAGTTCATGAAGCAATCACAAACTAAACCACTCACAAACATTTACATTTATAATATTAGTATAATAAAACCCAAATACATAATGTTCGAATGTCAAGTCTGATGAAAGAAGTAGTATTAAATTCGCATAAAATATTTTTTTCATTTATTAATTTAAAAAAAATAATATATATTTCGAGATTCCTTGACTGTAAATTGGTATACTTATATGTGTATTCAGCTCTTTTTAACGTCCCACAGCTGCGGTTTGGCGGACTTCACGTCTTTCAAAAACTTGATAGGTTCTTTCAGACTTGTAGGAGCCCACACAATGTTTTCCTTCACCGTAAGACAAGTGAAACATGTTGGAAATGATTCGTACATGAAAATATCAGAGATGCGAGACCCGGGTTTTGAACCCGCTTCACTCGGTTTTCCAAGCGAGCACGTTACCACTGTGCTACCACTGCCTAGGTCTCTACTTATAGGGTAAATTAAAAAAAAAAAACAACAATATATAACTATAAAATCTAATAAATAATATCACAGATATTACCATCAATTTACAACTTTATAACACTGACTACAGTCGATTTTGAACTCTATACCTGTATTTTAGATTTTAGAATTTGTTTGTCAAGGAGAACGGATAGGTCTGATGGGATCTGTTTGTTGTTTGCTTTGCAAAGGGAACAAATGTTCTTAACGAATTTTTGTGAAGGAGTTATTTCGTTTTCCTGCATTTTGTACCAGAGGGATAGAGCTTCTTGGCACTTATCGTCGCGCTCTGAAGAAAAAAATGTTATTAGTATCAAAATAAAACGATAATTAATTGTAGTTTAAAAAATATAAAAAGAATGCATATGACCAATTGTAATATAAGGGCTCTTCTGAAAAAACAAATGAGCCCAAATTCCATAGATTTTACTAGAAAATAGAAACCATTGAAGAGTTCTATTATCCACCTCCTTCAATAATTGTACAATCAACTAACGATATACATATAATAATTAAGTTGACATCCATTAATTACGAGAGCTGTTTTTCTCATAACTTAGACCCCTCCCTCCTTCTTGGTGAGATTAAGTGAGATTTGGTGGGACCACCCGCTCCATCTTACGTGAGATTCACGCTACAGTTGTAACAATTTTATTTACTATTTAAGAACTATCGAAATAAATATTTAAATAAATTTAAACTCAGTTTGAATGAGATTTAATGAGATTTTACTAAAACTACCATCCCCCATTTTGAGCTCACGTATGTAATGGATGGATGTAACTAACCTTGGATTTTGAGCTCATTTAACTCGTTCCGACGATTCCCATACAATTACACAAAAGTAATATTAATTTGAAAACCTACAACTATAATTAATAATCATCTACCTAATATATTTAAACGAGCAATTCTTGTATATTTATTTATTTTTACGGCCATCTCGAAAACGGCTCTAACGATTTTGCCGAAATTTGGTATGTGGGGGTTTTCGGGGGCAAAAATAGATCTAGATTAGTCTTATGTCTGGGAAAACGCGTGTTTTCGAGTTTTCATGCGGTTTTCTTTAGCATTATTCCTCCACGCAAAATATAGTCGTTAATTTCCTAAAAATAATCATAAGCATCATAGAAAGCAGCCACGGCGCAAGATTAACTATCACAGGTGTCCTGGTCGGATACAAAGTTTTTACTTTTATTATTGTTTTTCGCATTTCGAATTTTTTTTATCAATAAAATACGATATAACAGAAAAGAACTCCCAGCGAAGCTCGGTCGCCCAGTTACTTACTAATAACATAACATACAAATGAAAACTTACGAAAAACATCTAATATCATATTACAAATGGCCTCAACATCGATATGCCGGATATCCCTCCCACATTCAACGATAGTTTCCAAAGCATCCACTTTCTTCTCATCCGCGAACCTCTCGCAATGACGCATCAACGCTTCGGGATGAAACTTGATGCTGGGGTCCAGGAACAATTTACGGAGAGACTTCTTGTATCCCACATCTGCTAATGCTGCTATCAAACTTAACTGGAAAGTTTTGTGTCAATCAGACTACTATATCTATAATATTTATTTTTCTTTAATGGCTTAGAGTTGCGTTAACAGACGCAATCCATCCTGCCAGTGTCACGTTTTGTGAGGAAGACACGAATGAGATTGAGCGGTAATTTTGAAATTTAATTTATGCAAATATTTGACATTTCAATTAAAACTACCTTTTTGGACTTTTTTGCGGAACATGACAATATGTGACCGTGATTGCTGTAAAGCATATGAAACGTCGAGATTTAAAAATCAAAATAAATCCGCGAAAAAATCCGAAAGACGTTTTATTTCAAATACTATATTATGTGCTTAGTTTTGTATGTACTACATATTAAGTACCTACTAGATATGACATTTAGATTTCAATTTAGATGCAGATAGTTTTATTTCTAAATAAATTAATCATAATTGTAAACTACTTTATCTCCTATGTACTAAGGAAAAACTTAAGAGCAAATTGAGAAAAAGACATCACTATAATCTCTCTTCCGTAAGAGAAAGTAAGAGAAGTTTTAAGAAAATACCTGTACATCACCAGCGCCATGAACTTTCTTGTTCACATTTAATATAGTCTGTACTAATTTATTGAGTTTCCCATTGGTTTTTTCATTTTCTATAAACGTATCCTCCGATTTCCCATCACTCATTTCTTTTAATATTTTACAAAGAAGTTCATGTTTGAGAGGAGTTTTGTTGTATTTCTCTGATATACGTACGAACTCTTGAACGGCTTTTTCAATGTTGCCACTGCTAAAAATGGAGACAAACAAATTTTAAACAGTGACTACTGTTGTTTATACAATTAATATTCTTTTTTAGAATACTGGGACAGAAATCATTGAGCAATTTTTTTATTTATCTTTTTTCGCCCAAATCTTGGAAAAAGGGCTGAATCTTTAAAAACTTGATTTTCCCATTTTCAGACTTTATGAGTCACAAAACTAGTCTTAACATTATTACACACAAAACAACACAAAAGGGAATATGCGTGTGATTTAAATAAAGGTGAAATATTTTTTTTATAATTTTTAATTTTTATTGCTTTTGAATTACAAAAAAACTTCTTTTTGACTAAGAAAATAATTATTAAAAAGTGCAAATATGCGTGGGAAATTCAAAGTAGTTGAAACGAACGCCATTGGTCAGACGGAATATGACGTCAGAGTATCATAACAGAGCGATTAGCGATTTTGACACTTACAAATTGAGTCGTCGTTTATATCATACTGTGACGTCACGCCAAGCGCGCGAAATGATGAGCATTTAAAGTATTCGTAATGTATAATATTAAATATACAACATTTTCGGATATTTTTTTATAATTTATATACGATGTAAACTTTTGTATAAAAAAAAACAAGTCTTGCATATTTCCTATTATGTAATACAAAGCTTTCCCAGTCACATTACACTAACAATAATATAAAATTCCACTTACTTCTTCAAATGGACTCTCACTAACGGCCCAAGCATGGTATTAGAAGGTTTACAATATCTCAGTGAAGTTAACAAATCGAACATTCTCTTAGTTTCTGCGTAACAACCCTGCGCCGCCACCGCGTCCAGTAGCCGCCAGCAATTCATTGATATGTTCTGACCTCCCGTTATACGTCTGTTCAAATAAAAATGTAAATATAATACGTTTAGGAATTAACAGTTAGAAGTTAATAAAAAGAACACAAATTCAATTAAAATAAAACTATCTTTTGGGATTATTTCGGATTTTTTATTGGGATTTTTATTTGGGAATTTACAATGTTAAAATATCGTCAGCTGGCATATCTCTCCACAACGTCGCCATGCGAAACCAAGCCATCAATAGAGCCTTTTGTCACACATTCATGTTATTCCTAACATACAGATAGTAGGCATATTTACACAATGTTTTTGTCGAGACGATAGACAATTGGTGATGTTGTTTAATGAATAAAAAGATCTATTTTTATAAATAGCGATAGAAGTGTGAGCCCAGCGGTAACGCGCTCGCTTGAGAAACCGAGTGACGCGGGTTCAAATCCCGGGTCTCGCACCTCTGATATTTTCATGTGCGCATCATTTCCAATATGATTACCTTACTTGTATTACGGTGAAGGAAAACATAGCGACGAAACTAGCATGTCTGAGAGAACCTAGCAAGTTTTCGAAAGACATTTGAAGTCCGCCAACCCGCACTCGGCCAGCGTGATAGACTATCCCCCCAGCCTGATCCCCCCAGTATTGGGAAGCCCGTGTCCAGCAGTGGGACGTTAAAAAGAGTTTAATACAAATAACGATAGGATCCCTATCGATATGTTAACAAAAGCTTATATTTTCATATTTCATAACAAATTTTATTAAAAATAAAATATATATATGGAAAATATATTTTCACCCTCTATTTAAGAGAGTAGAGGATGTATTTTCAAGAACCCTATTCTGATTTAAAAAAATACCATATTTCGGAAAGTACAATATACCAGATCAATTAGCATACCATGCAAAGATATCTCGTTTTTTTTTAATTAAAATAATTAAAAATATACCTTTTTTTGGATTCTTTACTGATCAACTCAAAGGCCTTTTTAGTCTTCTTCCTATACACCATGAGGGTCGCAAAGTCGATGACCTTGAATTCGTCCAGAGTGAAGTTTGGGGCTGACTTGTTCAAGTCCGCTAGAGCTAATTCAGCTAACTCCAGCTCTCCCAACTTCACATGAAGATCGAAGATTGATGCTTTCATACCAGCCGAGAGGAAAACCTGAGTAGGTAATTTAACGAAAAGAAAATAAAACTGGATCCGAGTAGAAAAACATTTTTTCATTTTATAGGAAAGGTATTTCATCTAATATATAACCCTACTACCCCAACGTAGTCTAGATGCCATAGCGATAGAGCTTACAGTGACTGCATCTAAACAAATTGCTTTGATTATAATCAAATCATGCCCAAATTCAAGAAATAGATTTTCAGATCATTTTTACTAAAATATATATCTATAAATAACCTGACACTTACTACCCTGATATTGAACATTAGACAACTGTTTGATATCAAATTCATTCCTTATTAAACCATGAAACATGGAACGCTACCTCCCATGAACTGAGTTTAATGAGTATTTAAAACTCTAAATAAATCTATAGTAATATTATAAAGAGGTAGAGTTTGTGACGTTGTAGGGGGTAATCTCGGGATCTGGATAGATGGTACAGGACCGATTTAGATGAAATTTGCTAAGATAGTTTGAGACCCTGGAAACGACATAGGATACTTTTTATCCGGGAAATTATCCCTTAAGAGGTTGAAAATGGGGATGAAAGTTTGCATTGGGAAGCAAGCTAGAGAGAACCTGAGCGAAGCAAGGGTTAGTCGCTAGTAAATTAATAATGTCAATAAAAATTACACTTTTACCCCTTCTTTCTCGCATTTGTCCACTATTTCCCTGGCAGCGGCTAAGTTTCCCTCCCTGCAGTATTGTTGAAGGAGTTTCCGGAGCACACCGCGAGTGTTCATACCTTTCGCTTCTAATTCCGCCAAATGCGCTTTCAATGAACCTTCGTCCATTTGTTTCTGGTTCATAGAGGAACGATTAGAAAAATTAAATAATGTAATAATAATTAGTTTTTCATTTTTTCCATAGTTCGAATGCACTATCCGGAGTCCAACTTTGGGCTACTCTATAACCTACTCAGTGATGGATCCCGGCTGATGCGTCTTGTTAAGCAAACTCTTACGGGGCCTCTACATGTTGGACCTGAGTCCCCACGGAAGCCTTCCAAAGAACCCGGCTCCTTTGAACTCGTAAAATCCGAAGAATTACTAATATGATAATAATATTGTCCACCAGACCGATTTCAGCCACGATACACACTAATGTGTGGTTTAAAAAGCTTACCTGACCCGGTAATCGAACTAACCAAAACACATAAAATATGTACATATCCGAAAATAGGTAAAGATAAAAAATATACCTGTTCTAATTTTAAAACAAAACCATTTAACGTCACAAATGCAGTTAATCATTTTTTTTTTATTAAAAGAATATATCTTTAAAGTGAAACATTATATTATCTTCAATATTTATGGAACTTTACTTCTATGTCCGGATCATTTCTTCCACTTGTATAAACTAAGAACTATATGAATACAAACATGAAATTTGACGACATGTTTGGCTCAGTTTCTAGTAACCCTACTTGCTGTGCCAGCGGTCGCGGGTTCGATTCCCGCTAGGGGCATTCATTTGTGTGATGAGCACGAATGTTTGTACTCCTGTCATGGATACTTATATTTATAATATATATGTATTTAAAATTATACATGTGTAGTGTATCAACTATCTGGTATCCATAACGCAAGCCTTGTAGCTTTCCATACCAACTAGATGGTGTTGTGTATTAATGTCCCAACATATTTATTTATTTATGAATGAACTCACTGGATGTGGCAATTGCGGTACAAAAAAATCTCCATCGTCGATCAATCTCTCATCTGTAATTTTAATGAGGCTTTCTTTGATTGCATCTATTCTGACCTGGCTATGGTGGTCTGGGATTAGGGATATGCAATAATCGGCTGCTGTAGTTGATATTTTTATTGAAGTATTTTGTAACTCCTGTAACAAATTATTATAGAAAAAAATATCTTTTCGGATTTTTTCGCCGCTTTATTTTGAATTTTGGTTCCCGAAGTTCTGAATGCTTTACAGCAATCATGATCACGGGAGAGAAAACGCCGAGTTTTATTTCAAATTATTCTTATATTAACAACGTATTTTCTACATCGTATATAAATTTAAATTAAATATAGAAATAATAACACAGGTTAAAGAGTGTATCCAGTCGTATGAAATTTAGACAAGAAGTTAACACAAATAAAGATAAATTGAGATAAAGAAACTTACTTTTAACAAATTTAACAAGTCCAATAGGTCCTCTTTTATTCTTTTATGCCTTGCAAATTTACATAAGAACCTACCGATCCAATCTTTTTGTTTGTCTATAGCTTTGTCAGTCATATCTTCTAATATATGTATAGTATGTTTTGTATCTAAGCTTGAAAGATAACCCTTCAACAGAGGATTTAGTAGTTTATCCACATCCACTTTACCTTGAAATAATTCACCTATAAAATAAAAAAATAAATAACTATACGAATATTTTTGATTAATATGTAATTACTTCATATAATAAATTCTTTTATATTAAATACCGACATTAACTTTAAAATAATTTTCAAAACTATTTAATTTATCCCAATGTGTTTATTTTTAATTTATGAGGCCATGCTTAAGGTCCAAAAATAAAAAAAATATATATCATCACAGATCATATAATACTATACTAGATATCATAAATCGTAAATCTAAAGACAATTGTCGAAGGTCTCGCGTACAAAGAAAAACATACATCCTAATTAAGCGCGTCCTCTTTTATTGAAACCGGTTAATAATAAAAGGATTAAACTTACTCTAAAACTAACGTAAATAAGTCCAAAGATTATTACACTTTCAAATAATAAAAAAATATATATTAAAAAGAAACCCTCAAAACATACTCACAAATTTCACTCGCAGCTCTAACCTGACCAGTGTTTAGAAGAGTGACCATCATTGGTGTCAACACGGTTGTAACAGTCAGACCAGCTTCTAGAAATTTCTTCATCAGATTCTGTGGAGATGTGAAACTGACATATGGTAAAGTAAACTCCATTATAGTCTCGTAATCTGGCTTTATTTCCATGGTTACCATTGTTGATAGTGTATTCATTATACCTAAAAATGCAATAATGTTAAATACAAATAAATAAAAAATACAAATAAATAAAATTGAAGTGTCTATTTGTCATGTCAAAATAACAGTTTTTAAATAAATGCATTCATATGCATATCAACAAGAATTAGAAAAAAAAAACAACTTTTAAAATTTTTGTCTGTCTTTTTGTCCCGCTTAATCTCTGAAACGACTGGATTGATTTTGACGGAACTTTCACTGGCACATAGCTGATGTTATAAGAAGTCATTAAGGCTAATTTTATTTTAGAAAAAGAATTAGTTACGCGCAAATGAATAAAATACTCGTAAAACTAATAAACGTGCAACAGTTCGAAACCGAACTTATGAGTTCTGGTTTCTTTAAAAAAACAAAAACGCTACCAAACACTAGTCTGTGTATACTATTTAATGTTCGTTAATATTTTAAGCATAATTTTGAATACCATTCACTCATCAATCACATAGTTATCTACGGTCTATCTATAAATTTTCATAACATTAAAAAAGAAGTATTAATAGTGTACCTTTTTCCCCATAAGTTTTTGATGTATACATCAGAATAGGCCAAAAGTAGTGTGGCCTGACTGGCATTCCGAGTTGCTTCATTCTAGTGAACAAGTCCAATGCCAAAGGTACTTTCCCTGATTGTAAAGAAGCCTCAGCTGCATTTTGTATGGCGATTGGGTTCCTTCCAGAAGACATTAGCTCTTGAGTAATTAGAGCTATGACGCTAGATGGCTGTAAATAATAAAATTAGAAATAAAATAATTATAAACTTTTTTTTTTCAATGTTTGTGGTCTCAATTAGCACATACAATATTACTTATGACAAAAACGCCATCCACATCGGATCAGTAATTTTTGAGAAAATCGCAGACATACAAACATACATACATATGGGTCAAATATAGAACATCCTTTTTTGAAGTCAGTTAAAAAAGTATAACCATTTCAAAATCACTTAAAAATAATTATCCTCATAAGGAAAGGAACGAAAGGAAAAAGTAACTATTTAACCCATAGAGATGGCTTCTTTACCCTTGAGTTATAACATATTCATTCAAAGAAGATTTATGAAATTTTAAATAAAACTATCTTTTCGGATTATTTCGCGGATTTATTTAGATTTTTGGTTCCCGACGTTTCGAATACTTTACAGCAATCATGGTCACGAGAGAGGTTATAGACGTCTCAAACACATACTTGTTACGTCGGGAACCAAAAATCAAAATAAATCCGCGAAATAATCCGAAAAGATTGCTTTATTTAAAATGTCAAATATTCGCATAATTCTAAGAAAGTATTAAGATTTATGAGAATTAAATTGCAATTTCTGAGGAGATATCAATAGATTTCCTAGTCCCGCCATAACCTTCCCAAATAGTATGTGCTGAAATCCTTCTCCTTTATGTGATTGGTCAAAAATTGTCATAAGGTTAAAGTTACAAACTAATATATTTTTTTAAATGTGTTTAGAAAAGTGTTTTACTGCAATTAAAGTTACTCTCTGATTTAAGGAAATTCTAATTTAGATTTAAGATTAGAACTTATTATTGGTATATTTAAATTGGTCCAAAAAATACAGTTTCATCTACATAATATAATACAAATTGGCTTAAATGAAGTGTCTGTTTGTAATGTCAAAAAAAGCTTTTTACTGAATGCATATGATATTATATATGGTACTTATAAGAAAAACACAACTATTAAAATATTTGTCTGTCTGTCTGTTTGTTCTGACTAATCTCCGAATGGGCTGGACTGATTTTGACTGTATTTTCACTTTCAATTAAAAAAATTAAAATGTACCTAGGACGCACCCGAGCAAAGTGAGAGTAAGTTGCAAGTACTTAAATAAAAATACAAACCATTGAAGCTTTAACACAATCCCTAACTAAGCTGCGTCCATGTAATCCTTTATCATCTTTAGGTCCAAACGAAGGTAGCGGTAAGCATTTGTAGATCTCTAATGCAACCATTGGATGATTTTGAAATACTAGTAAAGTTGCGACACTTTGCATGTATGGAGATATTGATGGAGTTTGTAATATACTTTCTGGCAAATATGATAACACCTGAAATTTTTAAATTAGTGTTAATATCTAACTATACAAATAATAAAACCAAAGTGCATGTTTGTAATATCAAAATAACAGTTTTCTACTAACTACATATGAAAGTATAAACGGGATTTATAAGAAAAACATTTATTTTTTATTTTTGTATATCTGTTTATTCTTGCTAATGTCCGAAATGTCTGCGCCGATTTTTACGGGAATTTCACTGGCAGATAGCTAATGTTATAAGGGGTAACTTAGGCTACATTTATTTCAGAGAAAAGAATTAGGGTAACACTCAAAAAAGAATTAAAGCCCATGAAGTTGTGAGCAACCGTGGACCTAGAGATACACCAGAGCGAAGCGAGGGTATCTCGCTAGTACGAATATAAATTTGTAGCAGATCTAAGCTAAGATCTGCTACAAATTTATATTCGTATAATGAAAATGTAAGGAGTAATATTCATTTAGATAATCATAACACATTACTTTTGGCACTGGTTCATAATTGTTAACAATTGCTAATGTTTTCAGGATCTCCATTATATGAACTTCTCCAAACTTAATGCCACTGTCGTTGGCTTTTTTTAGCTCATCCATTAGCAAGTCATTTTGTTTATTCCATGCATAGGCTCTCGCAGTAAATGTATATGTACTGACAGAAAGTTCCAAATTTAGTGACTTCATCATTGTTAAAACCTCTTGGATATTTTGTAAATTTCTAAAAATTAAAATATAATATATTAAAATATATTGAGTTTTAAGAAAAACATGCTTATAAAAAACTATAATTACTCTACTCAAACCGAACAATCACTAACACACTAACATATACAGCTCTGCTTTACTCTCATACTCACTAAGTCTATATAAGAAACTTATTTTAAATTTACTCTAACAAGTATCTAGGCTAATTTTTTTAGGAAATTAATATCCTACATAGGGGGTTATGCAATAAGCACTTGGATAAAAGTGTATTCTATAGTTGTGAGACAAACATTTAAATTGATTTAACACTTCATATATTTCAGTAACAAACATTCAAACATCCCTTCTTACTGTCACATTTACAATATTTATAGGTTAGGTTTACCACAAAACATCCTAACAAATATTATTTCTAAAAATAATTTTATATCATTTTTTTACAAGACTTACCCAGCTTTACCTTGACAAATTATAAGGGAGTTGAACACACTTTCGGTGGCTGGTAAACCTTGTGCTTTCATATTTGATATAACTTCTGTACATTGATTTATATCGCCTGCCTATAAATTATGATAAAATATATGTTACACGACTTAACACTTTAAATGTATGTAAAAATTTTACACATTATATTTTACGAATTAAGATGTATTTTAAGAATTATTTTAAAAATTAGGACAAATAAAACCTTATTTACATTAATACTTTTTCTATACTACATTACCTCTCCAAGAGTTCTTAATATCAATTCATAAGTAGTTAGGTTAGGTTTTACAGCACCCATTTCATTTATGAAAGAACTGACTGTAACTGTTCTGTTATTAGCTATATATACCCTAAGTAATTCATTATAATGATCAACATCAAATGTTGTGTGAGGTCTGCAAAGAAAAGAAATTGTTACTGAAATCTATTACACCTGATTAGTAGTATATTATAATTGAAATGCTTTTACAATCTTACTTGATAGTATTCCACACTTGTTCTACTAAAGCTATTCTAGAACTCGGTGATTCATCAGGAAGAAGTTCTGTGCAGCATTTTAATAATAACAAACCTTGTTTCTTAGATGATAAATTTAATTCCTTTACTTTATTAATAACTTTCACTAAATCATTCTTGTAAACTCTATTTTTTTGATATATATCAGTTGATAAATAAGCTGTTAGTTTTTCGAGTAAGTCTTCAGATGATAGTTTACTTTTTGGAGCTGCATTTTGAGGTCCCGCAGAAAACAGAATTTCATTGTTATTCTTTAACTTCCTTGAATTCTTTTGTACATTGTCTGATGTGAAGAATCTGAAGTCAATAGTATGATAATTATAAAACCCAATTTTAGCAGAATTTTGTAAACAAGAAAGTGAGTCACTTCTGAGTGAGTGTTTCTCGAAGAAACATTAAGAGATTTTTTATAGAAATATATAATATAACCTTGTCTGTAGTTTTATATAGCGACAAGATATTGGTAAAATAATATTTCTTTCAATTACAAATTTCCTGTAAGAGGTAATTCTAATAGAACTTGATAATTTCGTACATTGTCGAATTAGCATTGTTAATATTTAAGTCAAAATTGTTTCAATCTAAACCAAATTATTTTAAAAAGTATATATTTGCTATTTGCTAATGCAAATTGCAATTTGACAATGTTTACTGACGTTTGCGGTTTGACAAATGACAAGTTCAATGTTTCGTGATAAAAATAAAAAAATAAGCCATATTGGAGAAGAATTTTGCATTTTTCTCCCGTCAGGTTTCGCGATCACTATAGTCCTCAGTAACTGTAAAGCTCTTTAGCGTGGATGGTTTTTTTTATTTTATTTATATGAATGAATGCAAAGAAAATTGATATCATTTGTTCCCAAAAAACTAAAACTGAAGATATTGTTGACAAACAAACGACCAAAATTGGCGATATCAAAATCTTTATATTTAAGGCTATGTGGACATCATTTTGAAGAAAGTGATTTTAAAACTCTTAAATTGTCTACAGGTGAATATTTTTTTAATTATTATTTGTGCTTTTTATACATTAATTACAGAGTTTCATCGCCCATTTTACCTCCTTATGGGATTGAATTTCGAAAAAAGTACGTACGTATTTATTTAAATATATTTAAGAGAATAATTCTGATCATAACTCATTCTTTGCCCATAAAACTTTATAAAAATAAAATTCTTTGCCCATAATAAGGGATTTTTTACTCCCTTTAAGGGATGATTTTCGAAATATATTTCTTATTTTTTATTATAAAGCTAAACACCACTTTCTGTGTATTTCACATTAACAATGAGAGAGTTTCATATAATCTTTAACCCCCTATTTTATCCACTTAGGGGATGAATTTTGAGAAATTATTTCTTATCGGACACTTACATCATAATATATTCTACGGTTTACGTTTCTACGACCAGCGGCTTAGGATGTGTTGATCCATCAGTCAGTCAAGACCACCACATGATGCACCTCTCCTTCTCAATTTTCCCTTCAACTGGTCTAACTTCTTGAGAAGCTAAAAACCAGGTATAATAGAAATATCACAATAAATTGCTAAACCTGTCTGAATGTAAATAGGCGATACGTGTGGCGCCCGCCTTTCGAGAAATTTTCTCTATTCAATTCAACAAAGACCTACACAATTTTTGTTTTGTGTAGTATGATTATTGAATTTATAAAATAGTAGGTACAATTTTTGTAAATAATTTATTTTAATAATTTTGTCTTACTATATAACATAGATGAGTTGTTAGGTATATGGTTTCCAAACGATTATAGTTTTTTCTATGTTGGTTTTCATGTAAACTAGCACAACTTCACACTTCACAATATAGTTGTGATTTTGGCGAAAGATGCTTTTGAAACACGTGGCGCTAGTGTTCACTGTTCTCCGTCTTGTTATAGTGTGTCTGTGATTGTCAATCGTGGATGTGGAATGTTTTGTGTTGTGAGTGAATGGTAGTTATAGGAATTGTCGCAATCTCGTTTGTCATGTGGTGAGTTTTACATTTTTATGGTATTCATGGCTTTATTATATCAATATCATATAGAATATTTAGTTCGTACGTGACCATAAGTTCTTGTTTGGTTGCCATTTACCGATCCGGCCGTTATTTGACCGCCATCGCCCAAGCCTGCTGGTGACTGACGAGTAGTACGGCTCCGCCTTTTACGTTATGACTGAATTTCAGATCAATTTTTATTTCAATATTTTTCGGTGTTCTTCTGCGTTACGCTTGCGATATAAAAAAAATGACGCCATAACCTGATTTTGTCTACGTCCTTAGAAGACAAGTTGTTCCTTGGAAACCAGATTTATTAAATACTTTAGTTACCGCCTTCGCGCCGATGAATCATAACGTTTAATGTTTCAAAACTATCTTGTAATACATCAATAGATTAGGAAATTTATGTAATAACTGATAGATAGTATAAATATTAACATAAATGCCCTTCTAAACTAAAAAAAACTTTTATATTTTAAAAATACTTAATTTAACCTCTTTAAGTTTCTCTTGATCTTACATACAATTTTTTGTTACTAATTTCGCTTTATAAGATTATCGGCTTACTTAGTATCAAGATATTCTAACTGTTCTTGGATGCCCTTCTGTTAATAAACTACAAATAGGAATATAACTTTTAACAAGATTGTTAGTGTAACATGCTGATATGATTTAAATTTAACACGTACTTCACTAATACAATGATACACAACATTATTATGATTAGTCACTCAATTAGAATTTCAGCAATGATACACATGTGCTTATTTTATTATTTCATTAGCCTATTCTAAAATCTATGCAGATTTATAGTGAAGTGTAAATTTATGAAATTAATGATTATAACCAGTATAAATAGAAATATTTATTGACATATTTCTTGAAATAAGACATTAGCCGCAACCAATACTCAGACAATTTTTTTTTCGTACCTATAGTAAAAAGCTGTTATGTTATCATTACAGACAGACACTTAATTTTATTTATTGTATAGATAAGTAATATAATAAAAACCACTATTATATCTCTAACTAGCATTGCCCGCGGCTCCGCTCGCGTTCAGATGACCAAAAACCAAAATCTTAGGTTCTACATATTAGTTTACTCTTACATTGCAGTTTTTGTATTTTTTCTCAGAAATGAGATATTTTTTCGCGGTAACAAGTATCCTATACGTTGACCCACATAACCAGCTATCATCATACCAAATTTCATCAAAATTCCTCCAGTGCTTTTTTCGTGATGCGGTAACAGACAGACAGACAAAAATTCTAAAAACTATAGATTCGGCCTCTGTATCGATAACAATGTTTATTTCAATAAGATTTTCCAAAAAATATTTAATGTACAGATTCGGCTTAATTAGAATTTTATTATATGTATAGATTAGTCAGAAAATAATTAAGTTAGCATAGTATGCTACTGCAAAAGCTGCAATTTGTAAATTTTCCCTATGTAAGAACTGTCAAACTTCTATATACTTAGAACTTCTTTCTTTAAATTAAACATCTAACCAACAACACACTGTTCCATTTATAATATCAGTAAAATCTGGCGATGGTAATGATTAATACTAGTAATAGGTAATTATTGTGTGTTTCTACGGAGTTGTGTTAGAGCTCATTATTAGTTAAAGAACTTCATAAAAATTGTTTTAGTAATTGTAGATTTTATCTTCTAGATTCTTCTATAAGCTGTAACAATATGTCAGCCGACTTAATTTTTTCTGTTTTTGCCACAAATTACCACATTGTAAAGTAAGCTTTTCTACATAACAAAATATCAATATAAAGGCAGATTTGCAAAGGTCAGTGAGGCTATAATCAGTGGCCAATTTAGTCTATTATGAAGTCCTTCAATAGAATCAGTCGAACTCTTTAATAGCCAATTGCTTGTAATTGCACGCTATAAGAAAACATTCTTGAATTAGTAGGAGTATTATTGTATACCATATATAATCCCATTATTAATATTATAAATGCTAAAGTTTGGATGGATATTTGTTACTCAATCACGCCAGAATGGACCTGGATGAAATTTTGGCGGAGATAGATTATAATCTGTACATTTTTCCAGGTTACTTTTTAACCTGGAAAAATGTATGGTTCCCGTGGGATATCCATACTAATCGTTAAACCGTACCGGGGGACGAAACCAAGCAAAGCGAGGATGAATTGCTAGTAGTATCTAATTTTTATTTACCTAAAATATAAATAATTCTAAATTATTATATTACGTTGAACTTTCTTTAATTAAAATGAGAGGGAAAATATGACTTGATTTATGTAATTCTATATATTCTTATTGGTTTTAATGATAATTTAATCAATTAAAATTATTGTTAAAGTAATATTTACCAAGTATTTATTACAATATCACTTTCTAATACTTATATTGAAAAAGCTACATCTATTTTTACTTTTCATTTAATACAAATGTTGCTAAAATGTTTGTGTACACTTTCACTGTTCTTAATTAAAGCGTGAGAAACCATTTGAATGGATCATAAAGCTAGCTACGTATTTTAACTATTTGTATAAATGTGCTTAAATAAAAAAGCAAAAAATATTTATATAAAGTTATGGAGAAATTATGTTAATTTGTTTCAATTGAAACATATTATAAACACAAAAGAACAATAGTAGAAACTTATTTACATAAATCTGACAATTAATTATTTAGTTTTAAGCACTTGTATTAATTTCTGGTTTGTAAATACAATTCTACAAAAACTATCCAGTGATACACCGATTCGTATATCGCGCCAGCTCGAGAAAAAGTAAAGTCAACTTGACAAAGACTCTTGGCAGGTTGATGCAGTCACAGATTAATTATCGAATATCAAAATAGTGAATTTATCCTTATAATATAATATTAAATATAGTACCTATATTTTCGTCATGTCAACATTTGCTCAGATTGTGTGATAAACTAAAGATGTGTACTGAAGTCAAATTTACTCTAATAGTAAAAATGTCACTCTTAGTAGATGTGAGTTTGTACTTGAAATTTATATAGGGCCTGTTCGGTCTAAACGTTGTTACCGAACACGAACACCTAAGCAATAATGCTTAATCGGTGTGTTATAACATATAAATGCATAGAAACAGTCCTCAAAAAGTCAGTGCATGTTCGGACAGCAATCAATCCGGCTCAAAGGACCAAAAAATGTTGATAATTTACCTATTTACTATAGAAGAATCAGGAATTTTGGCCCACAACTTACGAAGATATCGCGTAATATACCTACCTACACAAAACAAGTATCAATACACTCGAATTGATTTCCTCTTCCTTTTTTAAGTCAGTTAAAAACATTTTGATTGACTACTGAAAACAGTCAAATAAAAATGTTTTATAAATAGTAGCGACTCGACCTCGCTTCGCTCGGGTTCGTCCCTAGCTTGCTTCCAAATACAAACTTTCATCCCTATTTTCACCCCCTTAAAGGATGATTTCCGGGATAAAGGGTATCCTATGTCCTTCCCAGGGTCTCAAACTATCTTCTTTACAAATTTCATCTAAATCGGTTTGGTAGATCCAGAGATTA